GGAGGAGAGGGCGACACAGGGCGCTGCAGTGATAGGGGATGGATGTAAAGCCACAGGGAAGGACATACAGGGACATGGGACAGTCCTGTGCCCATCCACCCGCTCTCCCTCGCGTGCCCCAGCCCCTCCTGACCCCCATCTCCCCACAGGCAAAGCCATGGAGGTGCTGTCGGGCAGCAAGGCGCCGGTGCTGGGGGACCCGTTCCTGTGCCGGCGCGGCGCGCCGCTGCTCAGCTGGTCGGCCGTGGCGCAGACGAAGCGGAAGGCGGCGAGCAAAGGCTCGGCCGTGCTGCAGAACCTCTTCCAGGTGAACGGCAGCGCCAAGAAGCTGCGCGCCAAGGAGGCCCTGTTCCCGGTGCACCACCACCACCACCACCACCTCGCGGCCCCCGTCTTCGGCAACGGCTTCGGCGCCGACTCCTTCAGCCGCATCGCCAGCTCTTACGCGTCCTTCGGCGCCGGCGCCGGGCTGGTGCTGCCGGCGGCACAGAAACTGCTGCGCTCCAAGAAAGCCGAGCGGCTGGAGGCGGAGATGGGCAAAAGCAGCCGGAGGAAGGGGGGCGGCGAGTACCTGGTGAAGCTGGACCACGAGGGGGTGACGTCCCCCAAGAACAAGGCCTGCAAAGCGCTGCTGCTGGCGGACAAGGACTTCGGGGCCAAGCTGGAGCGGCCGCTCTCCAGCCACGGCTACGGGCACGCGGCGCTGGGCGGCAAGGACCGGAAGGGGCGCGCGCCCGTGCATCAGTTGCCCGTGGGGCTGGCGCTGCGCAAGTACTCGGGGCAGGCGGAGTTCGCCCTGAACTGCGACAGCGACTGCCACAGCTCCTACTCGGACATGGATGAGGATGAGGAGCCGGGCGGGCTGGGCGCAGAGGTGCCCTCGCGCTTCATGACGCGGCTCTCGGTGTCCTCCTCATCCTCGGGCTCCTCCACCTCCTCCAGCTCCGGCTCCGTCTCCACCTCCAGCCTCTGCTCCTCGGACAACGAGGACTCCTCCTACAGCTCCGAGGACGAGGACTCGGCGCTGCTGCTCCAGACCTGCCTCTCGCACCCGGTGCCGGCGCTGTTGGCGCAGCCCGAAGCCCTGCGCTCCAAGGGCAGCGCGCCGCAGCGCTGCTTCCTCACCAAGGCGGCCGCCGCCGGCCCCAAGGCCAAGCTCAAGCTCAAGGAGGCCATCAGCTTCTCCAAAGCCAAAGAGTTCTCCCGGAGGCAGCGCCTGCCCTCGGTGGAAAACCGGCCAAAGATCTCCGCATTCCTGCCCGCGCGCCAGCTCTGGAGGTGGTCGGGGAACCCCACGCAGGTAGGGATGGAGCTGGGGGGGAGTGCTGGGAGTATGGGGCACGGTGCCTGGGTGTGCAGCACCAGGGATGGGCATGCATGGGATGGGTGCACTGGGCACAGCGCCGGGATGCTCAGTGTGTCTATGAGTGGATGGGTGCAGTGAGAGCATCCTGCCCTGGCAGCGCTGCTCCCCTGGGTGCCTGTGGGCGGTCAGAGCGGGTGCATGCGCGTTTGGGGATGGGGGGTCCATGCATCACCCCTTACACCCTCCCTTTCACCATTGCCCCCCCCCAGCGGCGGGGGATGAAGGGCAAGGCGCGGAAGCTGTTCTACAAGGCCATCGTGCGGGGCAAGGAGACGCTGCGCATCGGGGACTGCGCCGTGTTCCTCTCGGCCGGGCGGCCCAACCTGCCCTACATCGGCCGCATCGAGAGCATGTGGGAGTCGTGGGGCAGCAACATGGTGGTGAAGGTCAAGTGGTTCTATCACCCCGAGGAGACCAAGCTGGGCAAGCGGCAGAGTGATGGCAAGGTGAGGGCTGCGCTGTGTTGGGATGGGATGGGGGGCACACGGGTACCGGCGCGCAGGGATGGTGATGCCGGGCTGCGGTGCCGTTGCAGAACGCCCTGTACCAGTCGTGCCACGAGGATGAGAACGATGTGCAGACCATCTCCCACAAGTGCCAAGTGGTGGGGAGGGAGCACTACGAGCAGATGACCCGGAGCAAGAAGTACCAGGACCGGCAGGACCTCTATTACCTGGCTGGCACCTACGACCCCACCACAGGCCGGCTGGTGACCGCCGATGGGGTGCCCATCCTCTGCTGACCCCCATGGACAACGGGCAGTCCCCCTGGCACTTATGCAACGCCTGGGGTGGCCATGGGGGGGGGGGACACACAGGGGGTGTCATCGTCGCAGGGGGGGGGCTCCCCTACAAGCCATACTTTTCCCTAGTACCTCTGACTGTTTGCCAGCAGGTAAAGCAGAAATCAGGTGTGTTGTTCTATTTATTTTGCTTGTAAATATTGTATTTCTTCCGGGAAGTTTTATGGATTAAAAAAAAGAAAAAAATGGACAAAAAAATCCAACACAAAAAGAAAAAACCACAAAAAAACCACGGAATTATTAATAATATGGGGTTGGGGGGGTGATCCCGTTTCAGTGCACTGTATCCCCCAGCCTGGCTGGGACGAGGCCAGCGGGGCAGCGCTGATGGAGGGGGGGCTGCGGATGGATGGATGGATGGGGTCCCCCCCCCGGCCCCAGTGCAATAGCGGGGTGGCCGCGGTGCCGGGGGACGCTGGCTCGTCCCGCCGAGCCCTGCCCGCTGCTGCCCCGCGCTGTAAATGTGTACAGGGGGGTTTTCCAGTGTAAACACTACCGAGAAACACACAAAATGGGGCAAAAAAAAAAGAATAAAGAAAAAAGGAAAAAAAAAAAAAAAGGGGGTTAAAACACAAAGGTTTTATGAGCAGCAAACTCTATGTAAAGGCCTTTTAGTATGGAACTTTTTTATTGATAACTTGGCTTATGAATAAATATATGAACCGTTGGTTGCCGGTGCTGGCTCTGCCTCCGTGTCCCTCCTGGGGTGGGCCCTGCATCTCCCCCCCCAACCCGGTACCCACAGCTCAGTGCAGGCAGGGGATGGGCAGGGGGTGAAACCCGTGCTGGGGGTCCTGGGGGGGCCTAGGATGTGGTGAGGATGGGGAAGGGGTGGAGGAAGAGACGGGAGGAATGCAAGCAGAGATGCAGGCAGGGAGAGGGGAAGGGATGCAGGCAGGAGGAAGGGGCTGCAGGAGCAGTGCGGGAAGAGAGGAAGGGTGCAGGAGCTTGCGGGAAGCTGGGAGGATGAAGGCAGGATGCGGGTAGGAGGAGGAGGGGATGCTACAGGAGGGATGCAGGAGAATGCAGGTAAGAGGGATGCGGGATGCAGGAGAATGCAGAAGGATGCAGGTAGGAGGGATGTGGGATGCAGAAGGATGCAGAAGGATGCAGAAGGATGCAGAAGGATGCAGAAGGATGCAGAAGGATGCAGAAGGATGCAGAAGGATACAGAAGGATGCAGAAGGATGCAGAAGGATGGAGGTAGGAGGGATGCGGGATGCAGAAGGATGCGGGATGCAGAAGGATGCAGGTAGGAGGGATGCAGGATGCAGAAGGATGCAGGATGCAGAAGGATGCAGGTAGGAGTGATGCAGAAGGATGCAGGATACAGAAGGATGCGGGATGCAGAAGGATGCAGGTAGGAGGGGCAGGGAGGTTGAAGGGGGCTCAATGGTGTGAGGAGGGTGCAGGCAGGAGGTGCAGGCAGCAGGAAGAGGTGGTAGAACGCTCCTACCCCACGTGGGGACAGAAGGACAGGCAGAGCTCGCACACCATTGGCAGCTCCACAACCAACCAGAGGGTGTCGGGATGCGAAGCCCGGCGCCCATTGGCTGGCGGGGAGCCCTTTTGTTCTCCCCACCCGGGTGCCGTTAACCCTTCCCCTGCCAGGACCGCGCCAGCTCGGGGCGTGGGGGCGGAGCGGCGGGGCCCGGCTGCCCCCTGGCGGCCGCTGCGGGACACGGCGGGACCGGGACATGGCCGGGGGGGAACGGGACGGGACGGGAGAGGAGAGGGATGGGGACAGGAACGGGATGGATGGGACAGGAGAGGGATGGACGGGATAGGAGAGGGATGGACGGGCCAGCTGGGCAGGCAGACAGACAGAGGGAGGCTGGACAGACTGGAGCAGGGGTAGTGGATGGACAGATGGATGAAGGGCAGAAGGGGTGCGCAGCTGGACAGACAGATGAGGAGATGGAGGCTGGACAGATCGGTGCAGGGAGGGACAGAAGGCTGGATGCAGATGGGGGGACACGGATGGCGGGACAGGTGCAGGGAGGGCTGGATGGACAGATGGGTACACAGGGGTCCGGGTGGGCGGGCAGACAGGCAGCTGGTGGGCACAGATGGCCCCAGGAGCCTCATCCTGCCCTGGCCCCCCATGGGTCATCCCAACCCACCACAGTGTGTGCTAACACCAGGGTGACAGTGACCAGCCCCCAGAGCCACCAAGGAGGACCTTGTGGCAGTGCCACCACTCCTCACCATCTCTGTGGGTGACCAGAGCAGTGCCACCCCCTTAAGTGCCTGTCACTGCCATCCCGCAAAGCATGGGCACCACAAGGGCATCACCCGACCCTGGCCCAGTGCCCCTGGAGCAAACCCCACCACCCCGAGGGACACTGCATGCTTCAGCCTGTGCCCACTCCACAACAGCAGAGGGGAGAGCATTTGGGGCTGGGAATACCTGTGCAGGGGACAATACCAGCTTTCCATAGGGATCCAGCTCCACTGCAGCCCCAGGGACTCAGCACAGGATGGTCAGGATACACACAGGGCACAATGGCTGCAGCAACAGCACTGCCTCTGCTGCAGGTACTCATCATGCAATGAGCATGAATCCCTTTCCCCAAGAGCTGGGAACAGGCCCAGGCTTGGGGGAATGCCCATTCCTGCACCCCTCTAGTGCCACCTTCACCGGGAACACCAAGAACCACTCAAGGCCCCAGCCCAACACCATGGGACTTCCACCCTGCTGCAGGCACACCCCACAGCAGCACCAAACCAACTCCTACCTGGCTGAACAGCAGCCTCCAACAGGCCCCATGGCCCCTCTACGACCCAAAACCCCGTATTTTGAGCCCCAGAAAGGCAGGTGCAGAGGTGGGGTGGAGTTTACTGCAGCTGGTTTATTTCCGTACACGATGAGGTGGTTTGTGGGCATTACAATTTCTCAACTTCCCCGATGACTCGGTTACAAATTTTGGTTTCCTACCGTCATGTGTGAGAACAATTAAGGCAACGTACAAAAATCTGACATAAATTAAAACGATGCGGAAGATTTACAGGGTGTAAATGCAAAGTTTCAGCAACTCAAGTTGAGGAACCTCAGCCCCGTGAATGTCGGGTGGGATGCGGGTGGGGAAGGAGGAAGGAAGAGGAGGATGAAGGCTGGTTCGTAAGGCTCGGACGCGATATGTTTTCCCAACCTTGCTAGAACGGCAGCGACAGAGGTGAATTCCCGATGGACTCCTACCAGCCTCTACAGGGGATCTGGAATATCCACACACTGGATGCATGGCAGCTCTGCCCCCCCCCCAATACCCTGTACGCAGCGGGGCGGCGCGGTGGGCCGATGGGTACAGGGTATTATTGGCTGACTCGAGTAACAAGGGTCAAGTCAAGCGAGAGCTCGACCATCCAGTGCCGGCTGCGGTGTCCGAGGGCGGGTGCTGTTGCGGAAGGCTTATTCCAGTTGTAGGAGGCTGGCATGAGGTGTGGGCTTTGCCTTGGGCACACAGACACGAGTGCCACCCGCGCGGCACCGCCGCAGTCCCATTAGAAGCATTTACGGTGGACGATGGAGGGGCCGGACTCGTCGTACTCCTGCTTGCTGATCCACATCTGCTGGAAGGTGGAGAGCGAGGCCAGGATGGAGCCGCCGATCCACACCGAGTACTTGCGCTCCGGAGGGGCGATGATCTGCATTGAGGAGAGCAGCGGTCAGGGTGGAGTGGCCTTCCTCTCCCTGCGAGGACCAGGCCAGCCCACCACAGAGCATCCCTTACCTTGATCTTCATCGTGCTGGGCGCCAGGGCTGTGATCTCCTTCTGCATCCTGTCGGCGATGCCGGGGTACATGGTGGTGCCTCCGGACAGCACCGTGTTGGCGTACAGGTCCTTTCGGATGTCCACGTCGCACTTCATGATGGAGTTGAATGTGGTCTCGTGGATGCCGCAGGACTCCATGCCTGGGGAAGCAGAGTTGCGGGCTCATTAGCACCCACGCTGCGCCTCACTCCGGGAACACCGGCCCCCCCATATCCCACACCTACCCAGGAAGGAAGGCTGGAAGAGGGCTTCAGGACACCGGAACCTCTCGTTGCCAATGGTGATGACCTGGCCGTCAGGCAGCTCGTAGCTCTTCTCCAGGGAGGAGGAGGAGGCAGCGGTGGCCATCTCCTGCTCGAAGTCCAGCGCGACGTAGCAGAGCTTCTCCTTGATGTCACGGACAATTTCCCTTTCGGCTGTGGTGGTGAAGCTGTAGCCCCTCTCTGTCAGGATCTTCATGAGGTAGTCTGTCAGGTCACGGCCAGCCAAGTCCAGACGCAGGATGGCGTGGGGCAGAGCATAACCCTCGTAGATGGGGACAGTGTGGGTGACACCGTCTCCAGAGTCCATAACAATACCAGTGGTACGACCAGAGGCATAGAGGGACAGCACAGCCTGGATGGCCACGTACATGGCCGGGGTGTTGAAGGTCTCAAACATGATCTGGGAAGGCAAAGGATAAAGAAGTCAGTTAGCACCAAGTGATGACACGGTGGCCACTCAGCCTCCCCCGTTAGAACACGCATGCTGACATGCACAAAATTAAGCTAAAACCACGGTGTGTGAAGGGAAAACGCAAAGACCGCAGGCAGAAAAACACAAACGAAAGAAACCTGAGGCGTCAAGGAAGAAATGCCACGAGTACAGAGCCCTGAAAACGGCGGGAGAGAAAACAAAAAGAACCAAACTCAGGGTTGAGATGTAACAAAAGGAGGGTTGTGAACAAAGATGAGAGCTGGGGGGGGGACGGGACCGGCGGGCAGGGAGCAGGTACCTGCGTCATCTTCTCTCTGTTGGCCTTGGGGTTGAGGGGAGCCTCTGTGAGCAGCACGGGGTGCTCCTCGGGGGCGACGCGCAGCTCGTTGTAGAAGGTGTGGTGCCAGATCTTCTCCATGTCATCCCAGTTGGTGACGATGCCGTGCTCGATGGGGTACTTCAGCGTGAGGATCCCTCTCTTGCTCTGGGCCTCGTCCCCGACGTAGCTGTCCTTCTGCCCCATGCCCACCATGACGCCCTGGGAAACCAAGGGTGAGTCAGCACCCGCCCGGCGGCAGCACCGCCCCGGCCCTCCCCTCTCCCTCCCCATCGCTCCCTCCCGCCTACCTGGTGCCGGGGGCGCCCGACGATGGAGGGGAACACGGCGCGGGGGGCGTCGTCCCCGGCGAACCCGGCCTTGCACATGCCGGAGCCGTTGTCGATGACGAGGGCGGCGATCTCCTCTTCCATGGCGGAGGCTCTGCGGCGGGGGACGGGGGGGGAGCCCGGTCAGAGACCCCGCACCCGAGGCCCGGTTCCCCCACCACATAACCGGCACAAACCCCCCCTTGGGCCGCTGTTTGAATCTCCCGCGCCCTGACGTCACCCGCCGCCGCCACCAATCGCGCCCCACCCCACAACGGCCCGTTCAAGCGGGCGAGCCAATTCCAGCGCGGCGCGGGGGGGGGGGATACACGGGACGCGACCCAGGCAGAGCCCACCCCGGTAGGGACCGAGCCCGCCGCCCCCGGTGGGTGCAGGGGAAGGGGCGGCGGTGCGGGGGCGCGGCACGGAGCGGCGGGGCCGGTGCGGTACCTGTGCGGGGGAAGCTGCTCTCGGCGCTGCGCAGACGCTGCCGCGGGTTCCGCTGCCGCCGGCTGAGTGAGACCGCCCGGCTCCCAGCCCCACGCTTTTATACTCAGAGGGCGGTGGCTCCGCCCACCCGGCCGAGAACATCGCCATATATGGAGATCTTTCAGAAACAAGCCTTCTCATTGGCCTCTGCGCACCCGGCCACGTGGGGCGGCTGCCGGGCTGCCCCCGCCCCGCGCACCCCGGAACCTGCATGGGTTTCTTATGGGGGGGGGGCGGCGGCGGCGACCCCCGGCCCCGGCGGGGACCCCCCGGCAGCGCCCCCCCCACCCCGGGCAGGGCCCGGGTCCATCCGGTACCGCCGGGTCCAGCCCCGCGCCCCGGAGGTGGCACCGGCAGTGCCCCCCCCATCCCGGCACCCGGTGCCCCCCGGGCAACACGTGCAGCGCCGCGGGCAGCACGTGTACCCCACCGACGGCACCCCTGGCACCCATGGCACCCACTGACGGTACCCATAGCACCCATAGTACCCACTGACAGTACCCATAGCACCCATGGCACCCATAGCACTCATGGCACCCATAGCACCCACCAACGGCACCTGTGGCACCCATAGCACCCACCAGTGGCACCCATAGTACCCATGGCACCCATAGCACCCACCAATGGCACCCATAGCACCCACCAACGGCACCTATGGCACCCATAGCACCCACCAATGGCACCCATAGTACCCATGGCACCCATAGCACCCACCAACGGTACCCATGGCACCCATAGCACCCACCGACAGTACCCATAGCACTCATGGCACCCATAGCATCCACCAACAGCACCCGTGGCACCCATAGCACCCACCAATGGCACCCATAGTACCCATGGGACCCATAGCACCCACCAACTGCACCCATGGCACCCATAGCACCCACCGATGGTACCCATAGCACCCATGGCACCCATAGCACCCACCGACAGTATCCATAGCACCCACCAATGGCACCCATGGCACCCATAGCACCCACGAACACCACCCATGGCACCCACCGACAGCACCCATAGCACAGGGAGTCCCTGAGCCCTGCGCACCCCCAGCAGCACCGCGCCTCCATCGCACCCGCACCGGTCCCATCCTGGCATCAGCATCCCGCAGCCACAAGCACCCCCTGCCCATTGCGCCTATAGACGGGCCATGATGCTGGAGCAACACCCAGCACCCTGCAGATAGCACCCTGCACCCTATAGACAGCAATCCGCACCCCATAGCAGCACCCTGCACCCCGGCAGTGCCACAGCACCACACAGCCAGCACCAGGCACCCCAAAAGCCCTCATCCCGAGCTCCAGCGCTGCCATGCACCCACTGATAGCACTGACACCCTGCAACTGCCGCTGTGCACCCCATGGGTGACACCCTGGCCATGGCCAACATCAGAGCCTGGCAGCCTGGGCCCCTCCTCATGTCTGGGGTCCCCAGCTTCATCCTGGGGTCCCCTGGGCTGTGTCACCCCCACTGCTGCCGGTGGCATGGCATGGCTCAGCCCAATGCACCGTGCCAGAGCCCCCTGCCAATGCTGGCTATCCCAGTGCCATGCGAGCCGTCCTGGCAGCCCCTTGGTGCTGCTGGGTGCTGACCGGGGCAGCTCCTGGCCTTGCCATCACTGACTCCCATGGGATCCCCAGCACCGCTTGGGGCCAAAGCTCCCCAGCTCCGGCCTCCTGCAGGCCCCGGTGCTGCCGGTGTGAAGGGGTCACCAGTGCCACAGAGCGGGGATGTTGGGATGCGGGTGCCAGCGGGATGGGGGGTCCCGGCACAGTTTGAAGGGTCTCACACCCCTGTGCCATGCCCCACAATGGGCTTGGACCGGGACCCAGCTCATAGGGGCTGTGCAGGTGATGACTGCATCCCATTACTCCCATCCCAGGGTGCAGGGACCGGGTGGAGCCCCCCCGGGGCACCCATTACCGGCGGTCCCTGTGCTGGGACATTGGGGGGGTCCGGGGTACCCAAAGTGAGAGGGGGGGGGCACAGGCACGGGACAGCGCGGGTCGGGGCCGGTGACACCGGGGATGGGCGGGGGGGAGCCGGGCGGTGCCGGGGCTCGGCCCCGCTGCTTCCTCCTGCCCAAACACGGCGGCCGCTGGGGCAGGGCCGGGCCGGCGGTGCCCGTATTAGGAGCGATGGGGCCGGTGGGTGCGGGAGGAGGAGGAGGAGGAGGAGGAGGAGGAGGAGGAGGAAGGCGCCGCGCCCCGCCCGTCGCCGCGGTGATGCGGTCACGCACACACACACACACACACACACACACACACCCGGTGCCGGTCCCGTCCCCTCCCGTCGCCACGGTGACGGCCGGGACGGGTGTTGGTGCTGGGAGGGGTGACGGGAGGGGTACCCGATACCCCGCACCCCTGAGCGCCCCCACAGCCCTGGTTTGAGGCTGGGACCACCCCCCCCTGTATCCCCCATCCCTGTGGACCGGTGTTGGATGGAGTCGGGGTGGGGGCACCCTCGTGATGCTCGCATGGAGGGGGCTATCGTGAGCATGTGGGGTCTCAAAGCCAACCCCCCCCAAAGCAGGGAGTGATGCAGAGGGGGGGCCGGGTGTCCCCAGCTCAAGGGGATGCAGGGACCGGCTGTGGTTGTGGGGCAGGGCCCAAACGGGCCCCTCCAAAGGGAACCTGGCCCCCATGGGGGGGGACCGGGGGGGCCAACGCGTACAAATGCAGCTCCTGGAGGCTCAGTGCTGATGGGCACCCAGCGCTGCCAGACCCCACCGGCTGCCCACAGCTCCCCACAGCCCCTCCGTTGGACCCTGACCCACTTATCCCCCCCTCCCGAAAGCTGACCCGTATCCGTTTCGCTGGGGGTCAGTTACACCGCACCGGGCTCGGGTATCGCCACAGCCGAGGGGGGGGGGGGCTGAGGGAGGCTGGGCCATGAAATAGTGATGAGGTACCCAAGCCGCGGGGCTGGTGCGGAACAATAACCGGTGCCGCGCTGACACCGGAGCCATCGCTGCGGCACAGCAGCATCACCGCGGCCGGGGATGGGACGGGACGGGATGGGATGGGGGTCTGAGCGCTCCGGGGTGGCCAAAGGTTGTCCTTATGTGCCTACGGTGGTCAAAGCTGGAGGCTGGGCTGAGGGGAAGGTGCGGTGGGGACCGTCCCCTCCTGTTCCCTCACCCAGTCTCAGCCCTGTGGCGCTGGAGGGTCCCCACCATCCATCACCCCCGTGGGCTGTTGGAGGGGGGAGAAGCGGCCATGACCCCGATGCAGAGCCCCAGGAGGGATTTGGTGCTAACAGGACAGATGGAGGCCGAGGGCCCCAAAGCAGGATAAAAGGTTTAAACTAATCAAAATGCCTGGCTAATTGGTAAAGGCGCTTATGGGCAGGGCGGGAGGCGGCGCGGCTGGAGGTGACCGCTGCTCAATCAGAGGGGCCGGTAACCTTAACCCGCCGGGAACGGATACGCCGGATCGGGTTCCCACACCAGTTTTCCACCCGCGGCTCCGTGGCAGGAGAACCGAGGCCGCGGGGACGGACGGTGGCCGGGGGGCTGCCGCGGTGGCCGGTTCCGGCAGCCCCGGTGCTCGCCGCAGTCTGGCCAGGCTTTCTAACCCTATAGCGGCCCATTAACCGGCACCGGGGCAGCGCAGCCGTCCCCAGGGCTCGGTAGGGCCGGGGACGCCCCCGCTGCCCCCCCCACTCTGAAGATGCCAACGAATGGGATCCACCAGGTCCTGAAGATCCAGTTCGGGTTGATCAACTGCGAGAGCCGGTACCTGACGGCGGAGAGCTTCGGCTACAAGGTGAACGCCTCGGCGCCCAGCCTGAAGCGCAAACAGATCTGGACGCTGGAGCAGGATGAGGCCGACAGCTCCGTCGTCTTCCTCAAGAGCCACTTGGGCCGGTACCTGGGCGCTGACAAGGACGGGAAGGTGCGGTGCGAGGCCGAGCAGCCGGGTCGGGACGAGCGCTTCAGCATCATCACGCAGTCGGACGGGCGCTGGGCGCTGCAGTCGGCGCCGCACCGGCGCTTCTTCGGCGGCCGCCAGGACCGCCTGTCCTGCTTCGCTCCCAGCGTGACGGAGGCCGAGCTCTGGACCGTGCACTTGGCCATGCACCCCCAGGCCAACCTGCTCAGCGTGAGCCGCCGCCGCTACGCCCATCTCAGCGCCCACGAGGATGAGATCGCCACCGACAGCAACCTGCCGTGGGGCGTGGATGCGCTCATCACGCTCTGCTTCCAGGACAAGAAGTACAGCCTGCGCACGGCCGACGAGCGCTACCTGCGCTGCGACGGGACCCTGGTGCCCGAGCCCGGCGCCCGCACCGGTTACACCCTCGAGTTCAAGGCGGGCAAGCTGGCGTTCAAGGACTGCGACGGCAAATACCTGGCACCCACCGGGCCCACCGGTACCCTCAAGTCCGGCCGCAGCTCCAAGCCGGGTAAAGATGAACTCTTCGACCTGGAGGAGAGCCACCCGCAGGTGGTGTTCACCGCGGCCAATGGTAGATACGTCTCCATCCGGCAGGGTAAGCGCTGGCCCCCCCTATGGGATCACCCCGCTATGGGAGGAGACCCTGCAATAACGGCCCCTGCAGGAACAGTGTGGGGAGGAGGCTGCCTTGTCCCAAGCTGCTCCCCAAGGGGTATGGGGGACCCCAGCGCTGGGGAGGCTGCAGGGGGGCCTGGGGTCAGAGCAGAAATGGGGCTGTGCAGGGCTCTATCGGTGTGTAGGGGGGGTGTGTGTGCACACAGGGCTCCATGGGTGGGTATAGGTCTGCATAGAGGTGTGTTTGTGTGCAGAGCTCCATGTGTGGGTTTAGGGCTGTGTGCGGGTGCACAGGGCTCACAGGTAGGGTGCATGTATGTGCATACAGAACGAGCAGAGCTGCACACGATGCATGGGTGCTCATACATCTGCATGTGCAGCTCATGCATGGCCATTGCGGTGTGTGCACAGCTCTGTGCCGCCCATGCATGCGTGTGCAGGGCTCATCCCAAGCTGGTGCGCATGTGTTCATGCATGCACACGCATGGAGGGCCCTGCTCAGCGCCATGCAGGGGTTGCATGTGTCTGCACACACAGCGACACGCGTGTCCTGGCACGGGGGCAGGTAGCAGCAGGGGTTGGTTGTGCAGAGCCATGCCCATGGGCAGACCCCACCATGGGGTGCCTGGCACAGGCCATGGCTGCACCACGGCCTTTGGAGCCTATGAGGGTCCCCATAGCTGGGCCATGCCCCCGGCCCCGCGCTGCCCCTGTGCCAAGCAGCTTAGTGCCGGGTGGCACCATCGGGCAGGCTATAAATAGGGAATTGTGCGGCGCGGTGCTGGCCAGATGGACCCGCAGCAATCAGCTTACCCAGCCCAATTAGCACCGGTGTTCATAGAGGGATTTACCAGCCATGGGGAGCGTGGCCGCAGCGTGGCCGGTGCCAACGTCCCCTCCTGCCCGCAGGCATCAACGTGTCGGCAAACCAGGACGAGGAGCTGAACCACGAGACCTTCCAGCTCCAGATTGACCGCGACACCAACAAGTGCAGCCTGCACACCAACACCGGCAGCTACTGGACCCTCGTGGCCCATGGGGGCATCCAGGCTGTGGCCACCGAAGTGTGAGTGGTGCAAAGGGTTGGGGCTGGGGTGGGCACAGGGGATCCCGGCTCATGCTCCCCATTCCGCAGCGCTGCCAACACCATGTTCGACATCGAGTGGCGCGGGCGGCGCGTGGCCCTGCGCGCCAGCAACGGCCGCTACGTCTGCACCAAGAGGAACGGGCAGCTGGCGGCTGTCAGTGATGCCGTGGGTAAGTGCTGGTGTGGGGTTGGGGGGGGTCCTGGTGTTGGTTCCGGGGTGCTCAAGGCTGGGGTCCCACACAGGGGAGGATGAGGAGTTCACGCTGAAGCTCATCAACCGCCCCATGCTGGTGCTGCGGGGCGAGCACGGCTTCGTCTGCTACCACCGCGGCTCCAACCTGCTCGACTCCAACCGCTCCGTCTATGACGTCTTCCACATCAGCTTCAGCGACGGCGCCTACCAGATCCGAGGTGGGTGATGGGTACGATGCTACTGGGGTTAAAGGGGGGGACCATGGGCCCTACCAGACCCCACCAACAGCCCCGAGGGCCTCCCTGCAGGCCAGGGGGGCAAGTTCTGGTACGTGGCGAGCAGCGGGGCCGTGTGCAGCGATGGGGACCTCTCCGAGGATTTCTTCTTCGAGTTCCGGGAGCGGGGCCGCGTCGCCATCAAGGCCAAGAACGGGCGGTACCTGCGGGGGGACCCGGCCGGCTCCCTGCGCGCCGACAGCGAGTCCGTGCTGCGCGCCACGCTCTGGGAGTACTGAGCCACGGCGGCCCCATCCGTGGCAGCTCTGTCCCCGCTCCCCCTCGCCTCGTGGCATTAAAGTCAGTGTGGATCGCACCAGGGCAGCGCCGCGGCATCCACGATCCCGTCTGCATCCCAGTCCCAAACCGGGGGCTTTGAACCCCAAGAATGAGTCCTGACACCCCGGGGAAAGGGATGATCCTATTGCCACATCCCCCCCTGTGCTACTGCTCTAGGACATGGGGACACTCGCGCTGCTGCAGGCAGAGCTGCCAGGCTTGGGTGGGCACAGGGCTGGGGGTCCCATGCGGCAGATGGGGCTGGGGGCTCAGCCACACAAACCCACTGCCAGCAGCAGCAATAGGGGATGCACTGGGAACCGGCGCGTGGCCGGACTGGGATGCCCATGGCCCCTCTGCCAGGGTGGGACAGCAGTGGCAGCACCGCAGGGAGCTGGCAGGGCCCTGCTTGGGATGGAAAGGAAAGAGACGGGCACCGGTGAGCGGCACGATCGATTTCATGGCAGACGACAGAGTTACAGACACTGGAGCGGGGTGGGGAAGGAGCGGGCAAACCCCGCGGCCCCGCCATGGAAACACGGGGTCCTTTATAGAAACAACGGGGGAGCGGAACCCCCCTCCCCTGCCCAGCAGAAAACGGGGCTCCCCCGGGGCGGGCACCCTGGCACAGCACCCTGTTTGTCCTGACCCGGAAGGCAAGGCGGGCCGGGGCCGCAGCCCGCAGCCAGCGCGGCACGGCCGGGGGAGCACTAAAACTACCACGGCTAGAACGATCCACGAGACACCACAGCCCCCCGAGGCTGCCAACGGGGCGGCAGGGCCGGGCTGGGGCCAGCCCAGGAGCCCCCCGCGACGCCCCGGTGCTGCCAACACGACCACAGAACACACACACGCACACACACACACACACCTCCACAACCGGGGCACCGCCGCAGCCACCCGGGGCCTCACCGCCCGCCCGGGCCTGCTCCTCCTCCGGTGGGGGTCCCTCCTCGCCGCTGTCCCATGGGCACCCGCCCCGGCCGGCGGGGTCGGGGTCACCCCGCTGCTCAGAGCAGAACAAGGCTGGGGTTCCGCAGCTGCTGGTAGATCTGGAGGAGCTTCTCAGCCATGGCGGCTCCATCCTCACCATGGGGCGACTGCTCCCGGAGGGTCTGCGCCTCCTTCAGCAGGGTCTGTGCAGAGATGGGAGCTTGAGACAGGCCCCGGTTTGGGGTGCACCCCGCGGGGAGGGCGCTGCGTGGCGCTCGGGCTCACCTCGTGGTTGGCCTGGATCTGGCGCAGGTGCTGCATGCGGAGGTCAGGGGGCCCCGAGCCCTGCGCTGCCTGCTCCAGCACCAGCGCCTGCGGGGATGGGGAGCTCTGAGCACCCGGCACAGGGCTCCGCTTGGCAGCCGTGCTCGCCCCAGGCCTGGCACCGCGCTGGGCCGGCGCTGAGGCACCGCCGGGACAGCTGCCAGCCCCGCTGCTCGCCTGCCAAGCTGACCGGGGTTGCTCCCAGGGCAGGCGGACGGCATTCCCGGCGTTCCAGGGCTCGGGAAGGGACTGGGGTGCTCCACGGCCCCACTCCCCAGCCCTGCCAAAAGCCAGGCCCGGCTGCCACAGGGTGGTGCCAGAGAAAGCTCCCGGAGCACCCGGCTGCAGGCTTCGGGGCTTTGGTGGCCTCGGGGTCCTCCCTGTCCCTGTACCTGGATGCGCCGGATGACGGCGTGGTGCATCCTGCACACGTCAGCCAAGGATGGGCTCTCCACCAGGATCTCCACGGCCTGGATGGGCCCCGTGGGGCTGAGGTCGTTCATGGACACCTGGGACAGTGAGAGCATCCTCAACACCACCATTGCCACACAGCGGGTGGGGTGAGGGCACCCTGGACCCCTCCCCAGTGCACAAGGGTCCCCAAGAGGCTCTTCTCCCCCATCCCTACCCCTTGCAACCCATTTCCTCCCCAGCCTGGAACAGGCAAATGCAGCAGAGACGCTGCCAGCCCAGCTGGGCACATCAGAGCCCTTGTCCAGCCCCTCTGAGGAGTGTTTGCCCCCAGCCCAGCCCTGGTGGCCACCAGGCTCCAGATGAGCCCTCGCCTTCTCCCTGAGGCAAGGCATTGCCGGTACCGCAGCCAGCAGAGCAATGGGTCTCACCGGTGCTGCCGGTGGTCAATGGATGCCCATTCCTGGCAAGATGCTGGTGGCCACCCCCCGGTGGATTTAATGCATCAAGCTCAGCCCAGGCAGAATTAACAGTGCCACTGATCACAGTGGTGGTACTGGAGCTCTCCGGTGTGAACCAGCCCAAGCCAAGCTCATGGCCCGTGCCAGGCCCCTCATCATGGGGTCCACCAGGAAAGCTGGGCGGTTTGTGCTTTCCCTCTGTGCTTGGAGCAGGGGATTTTCACATCCCAGAGGGGCTGGGCAAGGAGGGGCCAGGAGCAGGGGCCACAGTGCTCCAGTGGAAAGCCCATAGCCAAGAACACCCACAGGGATCCTATGGGCCAGCAAAGGGATGCTGGGAGGGGAGGTGGCACACACCAGCAGCCCCCTGCCCTGCCTAGCAGGGAAATGAGAACACCGGGGGGCACAAACCCACCTAGAGAGGAAGGGAAGCATCCACAGCCTTTGGGAAGTCTAAGACTGGGAGAAGAGGACCCCTTGAGCCCCACAGCCCACCCTCAGCCCCAGCGCCCAGCAGGCAGCACAGCCCCATACAACAGCATGGGGTCGGGATGCCAAGGCCATCATCACCCAGCTCCCAGCACGAGCTGGGGGGCTGCGGGACGGAGCTGCTGGGATGGGGGGAGCTCCTCTGGGGGCTGACCCATGGCTTGCCTCTCGCACGAGCAGCTGCAGCTCCCCTCCGTCCGGAGCCGCGCCGCGCACCGATGTCACGGTCCCGCTGCTCAGCGCCTCGGCCCCGGTGTTCTCGGCCAGCAGCCAGCGCAGCGTGGCACAGCTCAGGGGCACCTCTGTGGATACAGGGCAGAAAGAGGAGCTCGTTACAGGCCTGAGGGGGTGCCCTAGGAGATACCCCCCTGCTGTGGCTGCCCCATCGCTGGCAGTGCTCAAGGGCAGGGTGGACACAGGGGCTTGGAGCAAGCTGCTCCAGTGGAAGGGGTTGGAGCTGGAGGAGCTTTAAGGTCCTTCCAACCCAAACCGTTCTCTCATTCTATGACTTCTCCCTTTTCCTCTGAGTAAAAGAGCAAGAAAAGCATTTACCCATTGATAAACAGGGGCTGGCTCAGAGCTGTTTGCAAGGCAGCCGGGATGGAAGCATCTCTGCCCCAGGACATTGCCGGCAGCTCCCGGGATGCTCGTCCTCAGGAACCCACCTGAGTCAGAGGCTTTCAGCGCGGTTTTCAGCAGCTCCGAGGACACCCTGATGGATGCTGCCGACGGGGGCAGGTTCCCCTCTCCCGGGGCGGGCGGCTGCTCCTCATCCTTGCCCCCCTTGGGCTCAGTCTGCTCCAGGGCCACTTTCAAGAAGGTCTCCACAGGGTCTGGGGGTGCAGGGGTCAGTGGGGAGGGGTCCGTCCCTGGGGGGCTGCTCTTAAAGCGCAGGCACTGGAGCATGTCAATGGTGCACTCGCTGAGGGGCAGGCAGATGCCCTCTCTGTCCGGGGAGAGCAGGGGCGAGTCGTCGGGCAGGAAATCATCCAGGGCCTCGGAGGAGTCGGAGCCACTGCCCAAAATATCCCGTAAACTGTAGTAGAGGGCACAGGAGATGGTCAGAGGCAGGTCCAGCTTGGCGTCGGCAGCAGAGCCGAGGGGCAGCGTCAGCTCCCTCTTGTTGCCAGGGAGGAGCTGGTCGATGGGGAAGGTGAAGGTGGTGGCTGCGTCCGCAGATTCCTCCTCTAAGGCACAGGGGCTGGCCAGGAGCTGAACGCAGAGGGTCCAGCCCTCCTCCAGGCTGTACTCGCTGCAGTTCTCCAGCAGGCAGGAGATGGTGACGGTGTCTCGGAGCAGGAGGCAGCTCCAGTTGGCAGTGACAGTGCAAGCAATGGGCTTCTGGCCTTCTTGGCTGGAGAGCAAGGCCGCGCTCACGTTCATCACCTGGTTCAGGCTGGCCAGGGCTCGGTTCTTTTGGTCCACTGCTTTCTTCAGGAAGGAAACTCTGCAAGGACAAAGCGTCAGAGGTGAAACAGGAGGAGGGATGACAACGAGGACACTGGGTCAGCGATGGCAGCGTGACACAGGGCTGCTGCACAGGCAAGCTGCACAACCCCAGCGCCCTGATCCATCGAGGAACTCCCCATCTGCTTCCCCATAGATCCAGGGTGCTCTGCCCATGGAACCCCTGGAGCAGCTCCATCCAGCCAGGCCCTGGGAATGCCACTGCTAAGGGGGAGCTCGGTGCCTCCCTCCGGCTGCAGATGGCCACGGGGGCCCGTGCCTGTCCCCGCCGGCTTGGCAAGCGCCGGGGCGTCTGGCAGCGCCTGGCACGCTGCCTCTGCCACCTTCTGCTGCTGAGGCTGTAAATACCAGCCTGCCCGCAGCGCCCGGGGAGGGGGGGCCCTGACACTGCTTTTATCCTGTCCTGTGCTCCGAAAGGGAGCCATGGACGGAGCTCACGCTGAGGCACAAAAGCCTGGTGCCTGTAACCCCGTCTCTCACAGAGCCCTTTACCTCTCCGAGGTGTTGCCGATCCCAGACAGCAGCTCCTTAATCCTCCGGCCAATCTCAGCGGGTGTCAGCTCCCCGTCGGGCTCCTCGGGGCTGCATAAGCCACAGGACATGAGGCGGCCTTTGGCAGACAGGGCCAAGAGCTCGGATTCACCTGCGAGCAGAGATGGGGCAGGTCAGGCAAGCAGGGAGGGATGCGAGGGCTCAGGAAGGCAGCCAGGGCTTCCCAGGCGGCTGGAGGGGATGCAGGGGAATGGGGGAGCACAGGACGGCACTGCCTGCCCCAAGGTATCACCTCCATCCGCAGCGGGGTACAACAGGGACAGGACACGGACCACAGCAGCACCTCTGTGCACCTCACACACAGACCCATGAAGGGAAATGCCCCCCTCATCCCTGTCCTGTCCCCAACAGCCCCACAACCCCAGCCATGCTTCCCACCCCCAAGCCAAGGCCAGCAGGAGCTGGGGGGGCCGCAGCACGGTGCTGCCATGCAGGGTCCCCGGCAGTGAGCCACATGCAGCTCTGCAGGCAGCAAGTGGGGCCGGGCGCAGGCAGGGCTGCCTGCCTTGCTCTCACCTGGGTGTCCCCGGAGCCTCTCCTCCCTCCCCTGCCTGTGCTACCCGGTGCAGGGGGCTCAGTGTGGTTACAAGATGCTTTCCCCCTCTCTCTGCTCCCAAAGCAGGGGCTGAGGGCGAGACTGCGCCTTGCTGCATGCCCAGGCTGGGTCAGGCACCCTCACCGGGGCTGCAGGGACGATCAGCACCCACCGCTATGGGGCTGGGGAGCACAGTGCAGGCTCTGAGCCCCGGGTACAGGCAGCAGCACGGCTGAACCCCCCTTTCCAGAGCGAGCCTTACCCCAGCTCGCTGCAGGGAGCACGAGGGGACAGGCAGGGCCGGTGCCAGCACCGCGACGCCGAGCAGAGGGGGAAGAGCCGGAGCTGGCAGCAGGCCCCGCGCTGGTCCCGAGTCGCCAAGCTCAACACAGAAAGGACTTACAAAAACGAGGGGAGTCAACAAGAACGGGTGGAGGACGGAGCCCAATGAGGACCACGAGAGGAGGGATGGAGACGCACGGGCCCCGCATAGGCGGCTCTCCTGCCCCGCTCCGCCCCACGCCCCAGCGCACGCCCCGCTGCCAGCAGTACCTTCTGACGCCCGAGAAGACAAGGAAAGAGCCACAACGCTACAGATACTTAAACTGGCCGGAGAGAGGACGGGGGGCAGGACCCCGGTGCTGCTCTCCGCGTCCTCGGGGTCGGAGGAGTCGCCCACCCAGTCCAGGTCGACGGCGGAGATGTCCGAGTGGGTGCTGTAGTACATGCGGCTGCCGCTGCCGCAGGCAGCGCACAGGATGGGCCCGCGCAGGCAGTACTCCCTGAGCTCCGGTACCGTGGCCTCCTCCCTCTGATCCGCCTTCACAGCCACCATCTTCCCGTAGTGCCCCACGGCCACCACGCAGTCACAACCGGTGTCTCCAAAGAGCTGCTCGTCCTCGGCGTCTTCGGCCGCCCTCCGCTCCGTCCTCAAGGCCCCGATGAAGACGATGGGCTCTTCCAGGTGATGGAGGATCTTCACCGGAGGGTCCTGCTTGGAAACGTCGTGGCAGCCGTCGAGGGGAGGCGAGGAGCTGAGGGCCTTCAGCGGCACGGAGCAGAGCTGTCCATCCGGGAAGCCGCACAGGATCATCGGGGACTCCAGCATGGCCACGTCGATCCCAAAGAGCAGGCTGAAGAGGGGCTCCTCCAACACGAAGCCCCCCGAGCACCACAGCCCCTCCCCGGAGCCCAGGGTGCCTGGGGAGGATGCGCAGCACAGGACGGGCAGGAAGTGGGAGGGGGTCCCATCGCCCTCATCGCCAGGCGGGGGGCCGGGGCAGAAGCCAACCTCGCTGACCTGCCGGTACGGGGGGGTCTCGTGCTCGGGGCCCTGCAGCTCGTGCAGCTTCATCCACCACTTGCCGTGGGCCCGGGACAAGGTGACGACGAAGCTGTTGAGCAGAGTGAACATGCACAGGCTGGCGTCTGGGAAGATGCAGGCGTCCGAATCCACGGGGAGAACGCCGGATGGGCAATTGCTTTCTTGGCCGTCACCATCCGTCTGCTCCATTAACCTTCAAGCAAACAGGGAAGAGCTCGCAGCCAAGGCATGGGGTGAAGCCAGCGCTTCCCTTGGCTGCCTCTCGCCCTGGCCCTCACAAACAGGCTCCCTGCAGCACAGCTTTTAGCATCTGCTGCAAGAGCAGCGATCGGTGAGAGCCAGAGCTCCAAACCACCCTGTGGGGGCATGGAGAGGGCAATGCCCCATATCCCAGCGGTGAGAGGTGGCCCCAGGGCTGACAGCACCGGGGCTGGGAGCCACTCACCTGCTCTGCTGCTCCAGGGACACGCAGTAAATCCCGCTGTGGGCACAGAGGATGTAGAGCTGGCGGGGCTGGGGCAGCAGCTCCATGTGCCAGACCTGCTCGGGGCATCGGTACACGGCCTGGGTGGGAGAGCAGAGAGAAACGTCACCTTCCTGCAGCACCCATGGGGACGGGGCTGCTCCGTACCGGTACGTCACCTTCCTGCAGCACCCATGGGGACGGGGCTGCTCCGTACCGGTGTGAACACCGAGGGAGCCACGGTGCCCATGGCACCAGGATGGCAGAGCCCTGGCAAGGAAACCTCTTGCTGGACAGCAGCAGCTCCCAACACAAGGCCAAATCCCAGCCATTCTATCCCAAAAACGAGTGGTTTCCAGGGATAAATCTATCCCTGGGCAGCTCCGTGGTCCATGGACACAGCCCAGTGCTCCCGGGTGAGGGGCAGGGGGTCGGCAGCAGGGCTGTGGGCAAGGGGGGAGCTCGGAGGGGAAGGAAAGCAGGGCCCAGGATCCACTTTCGGAGCAGGAGCACGGTGTGGGAGGCAAACCCTGATCCTACAGCGCTGCCTCGCTGAGGAACGAGAATAGGAACAAAAAAGGCAGCCGGGTAGGACTCGGCACGACGAGCGCTGTTAGTCACAGCAGAGACAATAGCGAAAGCCTCTGGAGGGAGAAATGACAGGCACGTCACTCGCCTCGCCGGGGAAGCGAGCCCTTCCCGCTGCACTGCACTGCACTGCACTGCACTGCTCGCCTTGCAGGATGAGGAGGGGGGCTCAGACAGCAGCAACCCCCCCATACACACCCCCAGAACCAGGGGATGGGGTCTGGCTGCTGGAGTCACCCATGGATGGGGGGGACCTTGATGGAGGGACCCCAGGAAGGGCTCTGGTGTGGGGACAGCAATGCTGCCGCCGCCCTTCACCCCTGGATGGGGGGGATCCTGATGGAAGGACCCCAGGAAGGGCTCTGGTGTGGAGACAGCGATGCTGCCGCCGTCCTTCACCCATGGATGGGGGGGACCCTAGGAAGGGCTCTGGTGTGGGGACAGCAATGCTGCTGCCGTCCTTCACCCCTGGATGGGGGGACAATGATGGAGGTACCCCCAGGAAGGGCTCTGGTGTGGGGACAGCGATGCTGCCGCCGTCCTTCACCCATGGATGGGGGGGATCCTAATGGAGAGACCCCAGGAAGGGCTCTGGTGTGGGGACAGTGATGCTGTCGCCATCCTTCACCCCTGGATGGGGGGGACCCTGATGGAGGGACCCCAGGAAGGGCTCTGGTGTGGGGACAGCGATGCTGCCGCTGTCCTTCACCCATGGATGGGGGGGACCCTGATGGAAGGACCCCAGGAAGGGCTCTGGTGTGGAGACAGCGATGCTGCCGCCGTCCTTCACCCTGCCCCGGGGGGCACCGGCCCCGTACCCCCTCCATCACGGGGAGGGGACCGCAGTGTGACCCCCCCCTACCCCAACGCTCACCTTCAGCACCTTCCCCTCCTGGTCGTACACGTACACGAACTCGCTGCCGTTGGACAGGTAGATCTCGCTGGCGTGGCACAGGACCCGGGGCTTGCCGGCCGCCAGCCCCCCCGGCGGGCAGCAGAACCCGGCCAGGTAATCCACCCGCGGGCCCACGTGCGCCATTGCTGCCGCCAGCCGCTGCTGCCAGCCTGCGGGCGGGGAGGGCTCAGCCACGGCGGGAGGAGAACGGGGACGGGGCCCAGCACCGCGGGGTACCCCATGGCCACTGACAGCACCGGGAGCGCCGGGACCCGGCCCCATAGAGCCCCATAGAGCCCTATAGAGCCCCATAGCCTTGCCCGAGCCCCACAGACCCACCTGAACCCCATAGCCCGCCCCAGATCTACCTGAGCCCCACAGCCCCCCACACCACAGGCCCAGCCCCCCCCCAGCATCAACCCCACTCCCGCCCCATTTCCCATCCCAGCCCCACACCTCAGCACCCCCCTCCCTCCACCTCATTACCCCCCCCCCCCGCCATCCCACCCCCCATCGCCTCCCGGTGGGGCTGCGGGTACCGGGCGGGGGGCGCGGGCGGCTCCGCTTTACGGCTGCGCGGCGGCCGCCGCAATGGGCGGAGAGTTTGCGACAAGCCGTAAAGCCGCGAGGGGCGGGCCCGGTACCGGGGGGTGTGTGTGTATTGGGGGGGGGGGCACAGAGAGAAGCGAGGCAGGGCTGGCGGCAGCGGCTTTATTGATGGGACCCCCCCCATGGCCCCGGGATGGACGCGCCCGGTGCCCGGTGCTATGGCGGGGCACGGACAGGCCCCCGGCGGCGCGGGGGGACGGCGGCTCCGGTGCCGCGGGCCCGGCTGAGCTGCTCCACGACGGCTTCGAGCTCGGCGAAGCGCGCCGAGAGCCGGCCCAGCTGCTCCTTCAGCGCCGTGAAGTCCCGGTAGAGCCCGTCCAGCGCCCCCGACAGCGACCGGATCCTGCGCGGGCACAGGGGTGAGGACCCCCCCCCAGTCCGGTCCCGGTCCCGGTCCCGGTCCCGATCCCCGCTCACCTCCCGTAGTCGGGCAGCACCGTGTGGTGGTCGAAGAGCAGCAGGTTCCGCAGCTGGGAGGTGATGGCGAACTTCCAGTTCTCCAGCACCACCGTCAGGTTCGCGCAGCCCCTGGCCGGGGTCCGCTCTGCTGCGGGGACCGGGGGGCACGGGCTGGCTGCGGCAGGAGCCCCCGGCCCCATGGAGCCCCGCGCCCCTCCGGCTCTGCCCGCGCAGGGCGGGGGTCCCGGCCGTTACCGTCAGCTCCTGCGTCCGGAGCGGCGAGCAGCAGGAGCGGGATGAGGAGCGGGCCGAGCCGCGCCATGGCGCTGCCGGGCAGCGGGAAGGGACCCGGGGAGCCCCGCTCCTACCTCGGCGCTCGGCTCCCTCCGCTCTGGCTCCGTGCGGCTCCCGCCGGCCCTTTTGAAGGCTTGGGGCTGGCGCGGGGCCCGGCTCCGGTGCTGAGCGCGAACAGAGCGCGGCGTGTCCGGTGCTGGGGCACCGCGGAACGGAGCGCAGGAGGCACGGCGCTGGCTCTCGGTTCAGGTGCTCTTTATTGAGGGTGACCCCGCGCCGGGTCAGCCCCGCACCCCGACACCCGCGCACCCAGGGGAAAGCAAAGCGGGGGCCCTGCGCCGTGCCCGAGGCAGGGCTCGCACTGTCCTGGTGCAGGATGAGGCCGCTGCTATGAGCAGAGCACGGGGCAGCGCTGGAGCCGCACCCCGGAGGGTCAAGCCCTTGGGGCAATGCGAGCATCTGCCTGCCTCTGCCCGGCTCTGAAGGGCCCCAGCACCGGGGGGGGGAAAGAGCGCAGAAGGGACATGGGGGAAGGCACCACTTGTGGGGCGCAGCTCCCTCCCCAGGCCAAGGCCCATGGGTGCCCCAAGTTCTGTGTCTGCCCCTGCCCAGCCTCGCTCAGAGGGGGGACAAGCTGCTGCCCCAGAGAACACAGTGCTCTCTGCAGGGTGCCGTGGCACCCACAGGGAAGGGGCAGGATGGGGGGGGCACCCAGCCTGATGCCAAAGCATCTCCTGGTGCATGAGAATGTGTGCTACAGGAGCGGTGCCAAAACAAGAGCTGCCACATGTCCTGTGTCGAGGGGGAGCCCATCCTGCTCCGGCACAGGGCCGGGTCTGGCAGAGCCCCAGTCTGGCCCGGCACTCGCCCTGGGCTGGGTTGTGTGGAAGCAGCTGGGACCTGGGCACCCGCAGGGACAGGGAAAGGGGAGCAAAGCTGCGGGCAGGGGGATGCCAAAGCCTCCCCATCACCTCCACCATGCACGGATGTGCTTTGGGCAGCACCTGGGGGGTCCCCAAGCCCCCAGGGCTCACCCAGAGCGGGCTGAGAGAGGGGCTGGGGGTGGTGGGGTGAAGGCTGAGGTTAAGCATTGGTTACCCAGCATCAAGATAAAGCCAGGGCGCCCGCTCCTGCTACGGGGCTGCCCCTCACAGGGGTGGGAAGGTGGGAAATGCTGGAGCCTGCCCCCCATGGGCTCCGCACCCCGGGAAGCTGAAGGGGAGCACAAGGGAGGGACAAGCACCACTGCTGCTGCCGGGGGGGTTGCTGTGTATTGGTTAGGTCCGCGGCAGGCTGCACATCTCGCAGTGGTCCGTGCCGGGCTGGTTCATGAAGGTGCAGTGCTGGCAGGCCCACATGGCCGCTGCTGCTGCGTGCGTCGAGCCGCCCATGGCCCCGTACTCCTGCAGTCCGGAGAGCGGGACCCCCACCGTGCCTGCGGGAGACAGAGCAAAGGGGAGATGCTGCCGGTGCCCTGGGGAAGCTCCAAGGTGCTGGCACCCCAGAGCCCATTCCCATTCGCTGCCTTCCTCCCTCCCAGTCTCCAGCAGCATCCGAGGTGGCTTGAGAGGACCAAGCCCAAGGGACACCGGACCCCCCCCCTCCCAGAGGGACCCCTTTTCTTACTGCAGAGCTGCTCGATGGTGGCCCACTGCTCTGATTTCTTCCAGGTCTGTGCCAGCTCCTCATTCTTGGTCCTCACAGCTTCCAGCAACAAGCTGATGCTGTCCTGGAAAGCGTAAGAGGGAAATCAAGCACTCCTGCAGGGCCCAGACTGATGCTGTGAGCAGGGTAAGTGCCTCCTGCCCTCCTCCACCAGCCACAGCAAGACACAACTGTGAGTCTGAGCTGCTTCAAAATGCCCTTTGGGTTGCCCTTGTGAGGTTCACAGCCAGGGGGCAAGATGCAAACTGTCCCTTCTGCCCCCCAACACTCAGAAACACCCTCAAACCCAAAGGCTTCCTTTGCCTCTCCTTAGAGGAGGTTATCACCAAACCAAGCTGCACTGCCCTGCACTGGACAGCATGTGGGTGCTGAGCCTGCCTGCACCCAGGGGTGCAGACCCACTGTGCTGGAGCAGCCCAGCCTGATCTCCAGCCACCCAGGGTCAGCCCTGCTGCCCCACACATGTCCTCGAAGGCTCTGGCAAAGACATGGCCCTGTCCTCTGGCATCCAGCAGTGCAGATGTGGAGCAGGGGCCCGGGCCAAGCGCCGGTGCCCAGCCAAGGACTCCATGGCCTCATGGATCTGGGGGCTCTGATCCCATCATCGTTCCGATAGGGATTTCTGATTCTGAGCTCCCTGAACAAACGTTCCCAGCTCCCAGAGCCGCAGCCAAGTTGGCTCTGGCCAGGCTGTGGCCATGTTCACAACCACCCCCGCTCGCTGCTCCGAGCTCCTTGTGCTCTAATCAGGGCTTTGGCTTCACTTTTAAACCTTGTCCCAGCAGCTCAGCTGGAAGGGGAGGTGTTGGGCCAGCAGCACACCCTGCCCTGCACCCATGGCTCTGTCACCTCCATGTGACAGCCCAGGAGGAGCAGAGGGCCCCGGTGATGCCGACACGAGCCGTTCCTCGCCGTTACGTACCCGCAGGGGCATGACCTCGTTCGTGACCAGGAAGAGGAGCAGATGGAAATCAGAAATGATGTCTAGGAAGATGGAGGAAGTATTCTGGGACAGATACGTGGCCAAGCTGTGGAAGTCCTGCAGAGAGGGGCAGCAATAAAGAGAAGTCACTTCCCACACGGTGTCTTTATTTTCCTATGCGGATTCACTCTGACTCTCCCGTCCATCCCCTCCTCTTTCTCTGCTCTTGAACCCTGGATGTCCTCAGCAAGGACCAAAGCCAACCTCTCCCAGAGCCACAGCAGGCACTGACCCCTTTCTCGTGATGACTCCTGGAGGAAGCCTCTGACACCTCTGGCACAGCCTCCTTAACAAACGAGCTGTTGCTGCTCTAAAGCAACTCAAGGTTTCTGTGTGCTGGCAACACCCAGAGAGCCTGGAGCCGTCCAGCACCTGCCTCTGCTCAGCCCCAGGGGCCTCTTGCAGGAAAAGGTCTCATAGAATCCCAGCCTGGTTTGGGTTGGAAGGGACCTTAAAGCTCCTCCAGCTCCAACCCCTGCCATGGGCAGGGACCCCTTCCACTGGAGCAGCTTGCTCCAAGCCCCTGTGTCCAACCTGGCCTTGAGCACTGCCAGGGATGGGGCAGCCACAGCTTCTCTGGGCACCCTGTGCCAGCGCCTCAGCACCCCCACAAGGAAGAGCTTCTGCCTCAGAGCCCATCTCAGTCTCCCCTTGGGCAGGTTCAAGCCATTCCCCTTACCTGGAAGCATTCCTTACCTGAGTTTCTCCCAGCACATCACGGTTCTCGATGGGGAATGGATTTTGAGAAATAGAAAATGTGTAGACTGGATCCTTGGGAAAAGTTGTAGTAATCTGTAACCCCAAGACAGGATGATCAGAGCGCTGGCACGAGGAGAGGCAAGGGGGATACGGGAAGCTCCTGATAGCCAAGAGCAGCCAGGAGATGGCAAGGGAACTGCAGCCAGGATCTTCTGATGGCTTTGAATGCTTAAAGTGAGATTCCAGCCAGCACACTCTGTAGCTCCTGGCCGTTGTTTCTAGTGGGGCTGGAGGGTGATGTACTGATGTCTCCTGAACACCAAGGGGTGAAGGGGAGAACACTGGCCCCGGAGTGACCAGGGGTCCAGGCTGCTCCATTTGGGGCTGGAATGGGTGCCAAGAAAACACCTTTGCACTTCACAGAACAGTCACCCTGTGCCAAAGGGATGAGACCAGGGCAACACATCATTGCTCACAAGGCAGTGTTCAGAGCAGCTTCTGATGTTTAAGCCAATCCTAATCCTGGGTGCCTTACGGTTTGGTGGCAGTTGCTGGGCTCTGTCAGCGAGGCCCTTTGCAAGCAGAGCTGCAGCAATACCTGCAGGAAAGCCTTTTTCCCCTTTAAAGAGACAAACCACAACGTTTCAGAAGTGCAACATCCCCGACTGCTCCCCCGTGCACGTTCCATCCATCTCCTTTCATCTTAATTACACCCCAGGTACCCGGAAACAGATGCTCTTGCTACTGGAGCAATGAATCTGCTGTGGTGCTGCCGAGCGGCACAAAGAGCCCCTTGTTCCGGACACACCACTTGTGTGTGACATCCCAGTGACACAAGTGACCTGGGATGAAGGATGAGCCGCCAGCATCCCACGGGGCACTGCCTGTGCCAGGGGCAGCTGCGCCCCACCAGTTGCTCCGGGTGGATTCACCCATCACTGGCACCACCTCCAGCAATGTCAGCTGGCATCCCAATTATCTGCTTCCCTTCCACAGCCTCCCTGCGAGCCAAAGGGCAGAGCCGTGCCCCGGGGCCTGGCTCAGGGGCAGGCAGAGCCTGGCTCCATCGGGAATTCCCTTCCCCAGGAACAGGCGTTTCTGTCCAACCAACCTGCTCTGCTGAGTCACTGAAGGGGATGGATTGTTAGACAGGACTGGAGATTCCTCATTAGCTCCCCGTGACGTGGTGCCCAGCACATGCATCCATGGGGCTTGGCTGCTCCCCCCTGTGTGGCTATGTGCCAGCTGGGATAACACCAAGCAGTGTTTTCCCAGGAAGCAAGCGCGTTCCCTGGCACCACACAGACCCCAAGTTGCTCTGGAACCACCCCAGAGCACACCTCAGTGCTCGAAATGCCTGGCAGCAGAGGGGAAAGGAGGGATATCTGTCGCATGAATCACCTCCAGTGCGAACTCAGAAGTGGGTTAAGAGCTTCCCTCCGCCCTGACCATCTCCTGCTGCAAGCAAACAAGTGCAAGGAATACTCACATCTATGATTAAGTACTCCACGGGGAGCGGGCGAGCCAGCTGTGTGATCTCGTTGCCAAACTTGTCTATGTCCTGGAAAATAAAGAGTCTGATTATTCCTCAGCATGGAAGTGAAGGCAACGGGATCCTGTCCTGCAGACACCCACCCAGGAGCCTGGGATCCTCGCCTTGGGCAGATCTAAGGGTGCAGAGAGGAACCTGTTCCCAAGCCCCCACAGCTTCTGGGGGCTGGAGAGCTCTGCATCTCCATAAGGAGGACATGAGCATGGTCACAACCCACCTGGCTCTGCTTGCATCAGCACCAGGGAGGTGCCTGGCACCACTGCAGATGCTGCTTTAAGGCGCAGGGTGTCTCAGGAGGGAGGGACAGCACCCCTCCGCCAAGGCAAACCTGAGTCTGCAGAACCGGTTGCGAGTCTCTCCCTTGGGAGGTGGAAATCCCAGTCCCCTGTCTCACCCCCAGCCTGAAGAACCAGCCCATCACAAGGCACAGACTTGTTTTGCTCTGCCAGGCGCATTGAAAGTAAAGTTTAATTACGGAGAGGAACGGCCAGCATATGTTCATTAATCACGGGGTGACAATTAGACGTGATTGATGTCAAGCACGCCGAGTTCAAACACGGCGCCGCAAATAAATTCCTGAGAACTGACACTTTTCATTAAAGATTCTCTACGAGGGGGTTTGATTCCCTACCTAAATCATCACTTAACGTGTTATAAATCATTCACCCAGCCCCACATAAATCACACGCCCATCATTCCCAAGCAAGGGCCTTACACTGAAGTTTGCAGCTTGGAAGCCCCTGATACATCCATGGAGGGCTGTGACCCCCCCCCAAGCAGGGTTTGGAGCAGCATTCCCGGGATGAGCCTCCCTGCATCCGTGTTTTCTCCCATCACTCCCCCGCTATCAGCACTGCTGCCTTACCTTGGTATTTACACAGCACAGGTATGCTCCCGGTGCACCCTGACACAGCCCAGCAGGCTCCGGCACGCTGCTCCCCTCCAGGCAGCATCCCCCCTTGCCCAAACCTCCTCGGTCCCCAGGAACCGTTCCCCTTGTTAACAATCTACCTTCCACTCTTTGAAGAGCAGCCCCGATAAGGATCTTTTCCTCCTTGAACATGACAGCTTGTTGGCCCTGTGGTGATGGCAGCTACGAGGCGGGTGGCTCCTGGCCTCAGATCTCCCTGCCTCTGACAGGAGCAGGAGGAGACGTGGAGCCTTCGCAGGGAGATCACAGGAGCTGAAAGCTAAACCCTGCTCCTAGATCACCGCGATACCGCAAAGAGGCAGGAATCAAATCCAATCAGACCCAAGCGGCTTCCCAAACACAAGCCTGCCCCGGCAAGAAGGAACCTGCAACAACTCACCCGTAATGAGCCCATCTGGAATTCGTTTTCAAATCTAATTAAGTTCTAATATGCAGAAACGTTTTCCCAGCACCTGTTCGCTTTAATCTCTGCCTCTGGGGGGTTTCCATGTTAAATGCCTTCTTCTGAATGTCATGCTGCTGAGTGACGCCTCCAGACGGGCGCTGGGGCTGTGAGCACCAAACTGGAACCTCATCCCCTCTACTCCCTGTCCCTCCTCAGCCAGAGCCCCCCTCAACGCCAGCGCTTCTCCTCCAACCCCCATAACACCATTTTATTAGGCAATTACGTTTTAAAGGCCTTAACAAACGTCAAGCTGGGGGAAAGACATCTTCATCCTGAACTCAGCACTCACCAGGGCCCCAGAGTGCCTCTTGGCATGTTATTGCTGAGACCCGCAAGCCATGAACGCCCAGAAGCAACGACTCCAAAGGGAGGCCAGGAAGAGGTTCACGAAGGCGCAAGTATTTGGTTCCTGGACCAAAATCAAGCAGCAAAGCCTGGAGGATCTGGACAATGAATCATCCTGAAGACAGGAGCAAGCTGGAGGTTGCATCAGGCGCTGTGAACAGAGCCTTGCGAACCACTGTTTGGAGGCAGGAGCTGCAAACGGAGGAGGTCAAACAGGGGGAAGATGGGATGCTCCCGCAGGGAATGCAGGATGCACTGCACAGCCCTGCAGCTCTGGGATGGCTGCAGTGGGACAGGCTGCGGGGTGGCCTCGGGTTTGTGATCTGAGCAAGGCGCCTGGGTGGCTTCAGTTAAGAGGGAGGCTCTGGCCCCATATCCCAGGGCTGGATGGCTGTTAGCATCCCACACCATCAGCATCCCACGCTGGACTCGCCCTGCTGAAGGCACCGTGGAGCTGAGCAGCTCTCTGTCCTTCCTGTGCGTTCATAAAGCTCAACCCCACTGATTCCAAGAGCTTTACCTGCCAGCCCTGCCCCTTTGCACACATCCAGCAGCTGACACAGAAATGAAGCAACTTTCATAAGAGCAATAGGTCAGTGAGAGTTGAAACCCTTCTCAGGAGACTCCTCATGAGCTAATCAAGCATCCTCCTCCCCAGAGCAGCTGGGACATTTAAGGCTAAGGCGGCTTTTCCAGTCCAACACGAGGTGCTGGGAGGAGGCCAGGCAGGGGAAGTCCTTCACTGTCAGTGAACCCTCCCTGCAGCCTGGCTCCGGTGCCTTCCCTGCAAGAGGATTTCAGAGCAAACAGGAGGAAGCAATGTGTGCCCCACTGGGGGCAGCCTGCCTCAGAGCTGCCTCTGCTCTCATCAAAGCAGTGCCCTGGTGCAGGGCTCACCCAGGGCCAGGTGGGACCACGCTTTGCAAGCTGCAAGCCAAGGCTCAGCCGCTGTAAATGCACAAAGCCCACGCTGGTCCCAGCGAGGGCAAAGGGCTCTTTCACAACACTGGTGCCATTGTAAAGGGCTTTCGTCTTACACCATCCCAAGGAAACTCAGGGGGATATTAGGGCAGCTGTAAAATGCAATTCGCTGCAAGGGTGACATCTCCATGTCTGCACTAAGCCGACACAAATACCTGTGATAAGAGACAAAGCCAGTCCCAAAATCCAATTATCCAAGTGTTTCAAAGGGTCTGTAAAACGCAGCCAATCTCCTCAACTTCAGCTCTGAATAATCAACCCAGGGCTTGGAAGGTACCTTCTTAGTGAAACCAGAATCAATACCATTAGCTTCTAGACCCAGATGGACAAAGGAGACCACTCGAGGGTAGAAGACAGGGAATGGGAAATGCTCGTATGTGGCATTCAGACAGGCTCTGCCTCATCCAGCTGAGAAACAGGGTGCAGTGGGCACTGCAGCACTGTTGTCTTTACTCACAGAGAGCAGTTACTCTGACCTGTGTCTGTGTCTCGACAGGAACGACTCCTTCCTGAGCTTCATTGCATTGAACTCGCCGAGCTGTGCTGGTTGTGCAACGCTCAGATGGGGCACAGCGATGCTGCACAACCAGGGGCCAGGGGGATGGCTTCTTCCATCTTCCCTGGGGAGGCACCTCAGAGCAAAGGAACTTGTACTCACAGTCCCCAGAGGCCTCAGGGTCCATGCTGGAGCAGCACTCCAGCCCTCCCGAGGCAGGCAAGCATCAGCCGCATGCAGAAAGCACACACTGCCAGTTCCACGGGGGTGGCTCCTCCAAGCAGCAGGGCCAGGGGCCAACATAAAGAGAATGGTAAAGAAATACAGGAATCACAAGGGGAAGCCTCAGGAAGAACGCAACGCCTCGGCTCCCGAGGCAGGCCAGCACCGGTGCCATCGGCTCTGCTCTTTCCATGGAAGAACAGCCCATCACACACGAGGTGAGTCACTCAGGCAGGAGCAGCTGCAGCCCCACAGGATGGGGTAGCTCTTGCTCCCGCCCCACAGACACAAAACAAGGTCCAAGCCATGGAAAAGGAGCTCTCTGACCACGGACACCGCTTCTGCCGTGCAGGGAAGTCCTGAGGCTGCAGCTCCTGCCTGCAGCACGGGCCCTCGCCCCCTCGTGTGCCTGCAGCGATGCCAATCCAAGCGCATCTCTGACACTCATCACTGAAACAACACCACCTACTGCAGAGGCATGAGACATCTTTGAGCATGATCAAAGCACAGTTGCTGGCTTACCCCTCACTAGAGATGCAGCCAGCAGCACCTCCTCCTAGTCCTATTTGCAAAGCCGAAGCTGAACCCGCTGTGCTGCCCTGCTGCAGACAGATAGGAGGGTTCAGAAGAGCTCACATCTGGATGCACAGTTGCTCTATAAATATACCCACACTTACACAAAACACTGCCCTTCTGGTTCTCATCCAACAGCTCCTTTCATCCTAAAGGGCTTTCCAAATGAATACTTGCACATTACACAGAAGTATATGTATGCACTTCTCTCTTTAGCACTGATAGCTTCTGAGCGCGAGACAAAACACAGCAACTCCTCCAAAGTGCAGCTTTCAACCCAAGCTGTTTGGGCAGCCAGCACAGAGGGGACCTCCCCAGTGAGGACTGGGGGCTCAGCTCCTGCAGTTTCAGCAGGGAAATAGGGAGCAGGGTGCTGGACCTTGAGCCGTCTGCTCCCTGCTGTGAGGCCAAGCGCTCGACTCCTGCTCCTCACACTGCACTTGACCAAGGCTTTGACACCATCGCTGTCACCAACCCAGTACCGATGAGGTAGTGTCTCTGACCTCAAGCCTTGCACATTCAATGAGACCCCAAAGGTTTTCCACGCCAGCAGTGACTAAGCTTTCCGTTGATTTAAGAACATTCCAAAATTAAGAGATCCTCCAGCCAAACACGTTTAAGGCTGAAGGAGAGGTCCACTCGGCCCTCAGCAGTTATGGATATGAGTTATAAAACATATGAAATAAGCTGCAGCCCGACCCAGTGCATGTGTGCTGCATGGAAATTTCCACACAAGGCTGCAACCATCACTTCCCATTCTGTTTATCTCCCAGATTCCAAATGGGAGTGAAGCCTGTATGGGAACACCCACTGCTCCCAGCACCCCGGGTGGCCCACATGTGGGACACAGACTACGGGACCTCCTGCAAGGCTGCGCCCCGAGTGTGGCACAGTGTGGGCTCCTCCGAGCAGGACCAGAGCACGCCAGCAGTGATCTCATCTTCACAGCCAGGGCCAAGCCTTGCACAACGGAGCTCTGCTGCATCTCAATCGGACCTGGCTTATCAGCTCCTGAGAGCTGCCTGTGTGCAAAGGGAAGAGGCACAGATTCCATCCAGCTTTCCTCTCTAGTGTTGAAATTAGCCAACGGGTGTTCCTCTTTATTACTGGGTGTTAAGGGGTGGAATGGAGTCTCCCAAACTAATTCACCCAGGCCAGCGTTTCAGATTGAGGGCACCCAAGAGTGTTTTGACCAGCTCCATTTCTGTTGCTGGTGCACAGTAGGCTCATTTCAGTCACCCCAAGTGAAGGCAGCTTTGCTTATCCCATGCTCCTTCATGGACAGCTTTAATACAGGCAGCAGGAGCACGCTGTGAATATCACAGAGACAAGGAGGAGATAACCAGCTCGGGTGATGGATGGCTAATTAGCTGGCCAACAGCACCATTAATTAATTCCTCTGTCCCTGCTCACAGGGCACCAGCATACACACGTGTGAGAAGCGGTGCCATTAGCCTCTGCAGAGCTCCTGTCCCCAGGTTTCTAACTCGGCCCTGCAGATACAGGGGGGCTGAAGATCCCCAGGAACAACTGTCAGGGGAATAATGACAGTCCATTCATCACTAGCTGCTCTGAAAACCACAGCACACAGGTTACCAGCAGTGCTCCTGCAGGACACATCATGCAGGAGTGCTCTGCATCCACTCTGAGGGCACGGATCCCCCACTGCTCCTCAGGACCAGTTCATGGAGCTTAGTCTGACCCAAGGACTGGAGCACTGGCAGCCACCCCAGCACTCGAGGGGAAAGCTGGGGCACAACCCTTGCTCTGACAGCCTTTGCACCTTCCTTCTGCCCCAGAGAAGCACGCACGAGGCTGGCCCTCCTCTTCCTGCATCTGTTTTCTGCTGCATCTGCTGCCCAGTTGGTGCCTGTAAGCGTGTCACACACGAGCAAACCCCTGGCAGTGCAAAGGGACCCCACTGCTCCATTCCTGCGAGCACACATCATATGGCAGTGCAGCGGAGGAAGCTGAACTCAGCTGGGGATTAAAACCAACAGAGAGGCATGGCAAATACTGCCAGCACGTATAGAGGGGAGGTGAACTCAGAGCACTTGCTATGGGCTCGTGGTGGATCACTGCAGACCTCATTTAGAAGCTGGATGGCCAATGGCTACTGCTGGGCTGGGAACCATAACAGCACGTTTACGAGGGGGAAGTGGAGCTTATGCAATTACTCTGCAGACATGTGGTGAACGGTTACTACTGAAAATAGTTCAGACCTCAAAGACATCCTTTCCTGAGCTGGCCACGCTGATTTCCATACTGATTTCCAGACACGCAGCAGAGCTGGTTCTGCAGCTCCCCCCCTGCCCCAGGCACGCAGCTCTTACCTTATAGAACACATCAGGCACATACTGCTCGCTGCTGGACTCCTTGGCGTAGCCCAGCTCCGGTGCGTCTCGGCAGGGCAGCAAGCACTCATCCCGAACCAGAGCCATGCATTGATTGGAGACCTGGTACCCCTCGAAGTGGACCTGGTTGTCGGGACCACCTGGAAGAGAAGAGGCTGCTTACAAATCCCACCTAAGGAGTGATTTGTCCAGTGTTAACCCTGCGAGGCACAACCCCAGGAGCAACACTAAACACCGGGCTGTTGCTAACAGCAAAGAACCATGAGACGAAGCCCCTGGTGCTGCTGCATGGAAGGGTTTCTAGGCAAGAATCCCCTCTAAGCTCTACATTTATTAAGTAACACCCATTTTCACAGCCAGCCTAACAGGACAGACCCCTGCAGTGACAGCAAGAGCTCTCTGCCAGGAGCTTAAAGGTGAAGCTGCCCTTTCAGAAGGCTCCGGATAGCAACACCCTCCCGTTATCCTGTGGGTATCTCCTCCTTCTCAAAACAGAAACCAGACACACAGCTCCTAGGAGCCTGTTTCATTTCCAAGGAGCTGTGAGCCGCAGATTGAGGGCTGGTCACCGAAGAGATGTCAGGGATAAGAAGAAAAAGTGTTTTCTCAGCCTGTAATGGATGGCTCGGTGGAAATCTGACATGGAAAGTGGAAATTAAGCCCCTGGCTCACTGATAGATCACATGCTTGGCGCTTTAATTTGGGTAATGTAAGCAACATCAGGTCATATGTCAGTAGAACACAACTGGAAAGAGAAGATACAGACAGATGGTAGGAAAACGTTACTGTTTCCAAACCTAGGGAATTCAGGAGGGGATAGGAATTAATCCATGTCGAGGATTTAAAGGCAAAGTTGATGCAAACTATCCAAATGTATTTATACGGCACGAAACGAAGGAATCAAGTGTTTAAATAGAAACCTGATGGGCTGATTGAACAGAAGAGAATGAGATTATCTGGAACAGAAAAGAGGAAATATTCATTTTCTACCCTTTGATCTCCAACCTCAATCACTCTCTGCTCCAGAACAAACACTCCTAGAAATGAAACATAGACCCAGGCCCAGGCAAGGTCTGAACAAAGCTGGCCGTTGGCTTCTCAGTAAAGCACCTTGTTTAAACCCAGGAATAAGGAACACAAAGGGTGAGTGAGATACACATCTATCTGTAATGAAAGATGGATGCGCTGAGCAGTCTGGAATGCACGGGCAGCTGTCTGACTGCACGGGCCTCAACTCAAAGAGAGCTTTTCACTGGAAAAGGCTCCGGGAACACTTACAAAACCCGGGCTTGGAGCAGGCAATAGAACATCACACTTTCAGTTTTCACACTGGGTGCTGTTTGCAAGCCATGAGGTTTGGGTTTGGGGTTATTGCGTTAAACAGACCCAGAACCCAGCGTATCTGCTCCGGGGGAGTTTTAACTGAGCACATGTGTCACCCCGTGGCAGACTGAACCTCGAACACGACAACAACCAGCACACACCAACATCTCCCCTCGCAGCCTGGGTAGTGCACAGCGTTCCCCAGTGCCTCTGGAGGCTTGCTGTGAAATGGCTAATATCAGAGGAGACAAAGCAAAGCAGCTTTTGCAGCTTCTCTCTTTTATCCAGGCAAACGTGAAACGTTTCCACGTGCAGAAGAGCACAGCATCCTATGTAAGGGCTTCCCTGACAGCAACACAAGGGAGATAAAGGTCCTTCCTTCATGCTGAACCAGCCAGAGTTAACTCTCAGGCTCTGCATTCCCCTGCTGTTTTCAGGCAACAGTACTTGGAGCTTAAAGATTCAGACCAGAGAAGTGAGGAACGGTTATTCATTCCCCTGGCTGCAGGCAAAAAATGCTTTCTGGATCAGAGAGGTGGATGCTCCAAGTCTGACCCTCAATTAGGTTTCCTGCAGGGGACAGGGTAAATGATTGGAGAGAAGATAGCAGAAGGAATGAAGAAGTGGTTTACTTGCTAGAGCAGAGCAAAGCCCTTGTTAAACAGGACAGATGGGGACCGGGATGTCTGGTTCCTCCTGGCAGAGCTGTGTATTCTTCTATTAACAAGAGCTAATTCATGTGTAACCTGCAGAGCTGGGGCAAGCCCAGGCCAGTGAATACCTGTAGCCACAACCGTGACAAACTTGGATCCAAAATGCCCATCTGGAGAAAGGCGACAGATGTTGGGCTGCTGGTTCTGAAAGTTCCCAGCTGTGATGCACTCTTCTGCACTTAGATAATACGTGTCCTGAGGGAAGAGCAGCAATATCAATACCAAGGACAACGTGGTGGAGCCCAGGCCCATTTCCCTGGGCTGCAGCCAAAGGAAACTACCAACACCCCCAGAAAACATGCTTTCATAGAAAGCTGCTGCAGAGGCTGGGGAAGACATGCGGCGTGTCAGCTCCCCAGCCCTGAGCCTGGCTCCTGCCAGAGGGACTGCCTCACCTGTGCTTCCCCCCACCCCTGCACACCTCTGCTTTTCCTTTTAACAGGGTTTCATTTTCCAAACGGGGACGTCATTGATTTAGAGCGACAGGAAGCTGAGAAGGTCAAAGTGTGAGCTATATATATATCTCACAAAGCCCAGCCCAGAGGAACATCCTCTGACCGAGCCACTTTGGCTCAGTTTGCATCTCAAACCACCCCCATCACAGAATCATCTTTGAATCCCAGACTGGTTTGGGTTGGAAGGGATGTGAAAGCTCATCTGAAGTTTCTTAAACGAGGAGCACCATTTCCTAAAGCAGAGTGGCTGGAGGCAGCTTTGCATTCGAGATAAACAGCTTCAACCCCCTAACAGTGCTCTTCAAGCTCCTTTTCCTCCAGATGCTTCTAAAAACCAACCCCATTTCACAAGAACTCTATTCCCAGCATCACCTCCAGCCCTGCTCAGCACCCTGCTGGGCACAGCCAGCATTTAGCCATTACCACCCCTCAGCACCAGCAGCTCTCATTAGCTGCACGCTTGAACCTCACCTTGTTTCTGCTGTATCGAACAGTCCCTTTCCTTGTGTCTTCAGACACCAGATCAGTGAATATCCAGCCAACCTATAAGGAGCATTACAAGGAAAGTCACTTTAAGGGAAAAAAAAAACCCCAAACCCCAAACCAGAAGAGAGCTTATACATTTTCTCCTAGCAGGACAAGATGTTCTTGGCTCCTTGCACGGCCCTGCTGTAGCTGCCTGAAGGAAATGGCTCTCCCAGCTGTGCCGGGCTCATTTGAATCCCATTTCCAGGAGCAGCATGCCAGCTGGCCGGCCGGGGGCACCTGCAGCTTTATGTTTCACTATGGAATATTTGTGCATGGAAAGATCTGGAGGCTGCAAGAGGCCTCTCAGCCGCTACCTCCTCCCACCCACAGCAAAAAGCATTTCCTATTGAGCGTGGAGCGGGAGCGCCAGCAGATGACAAAGCAGCTCACATGATCTCATTTGGAAGCTCGGTCCCTAGAGAAGATAAAGCTCAAATGTTCCCGCTGGAGTATGATTCATTCCAAAGCGGCCTGCTCCCATCCAAAAACCACATTCCTGCTTGCTGCATTGTTTGCACCTAGGAGGATGGATGTGTACACACACACCGCTGCGTGAACCCTTCACACACGTGCTGGAGCCAGCTCTGATCGGCCCCCTCCTGCCCATTAACCCTTCAGAGGGTCAGATCCCAGCCAGCTCAAACCCCACACCCAGCACTCAGGTACGTGTTAAGTGATTGAGTTGACTGATTAAAAATACCTGCTGTGAGAAGCAGAGGAAAAGTGTGGAAATAAGTAACACACGCACAGGAGCTCTGCTTCAGACACTGGCAAAGGGCTGCAGATCTTATCGTGGAGAACAAAAGACCTCACCACAGCTGTTTATAGTCTGTTGTACCGAGGCTGTTCTGCTTTGTGTTTTCTTCAGCAAGCCAAATCTTGTTTGTGTACATCTCATTCCTGGCATTGGTGTGATACCAAAACAGGCAAATAATCAGGACAGGTTTGAGAGATGTCAGCAATGCCCTGGATCCCAGCAGCCATACGTCTGGGTTGGGTGGCTGGTGGGGAAGAGAGGGCTGAGGCTCAGCTGCTGGGGGGCCTGCACCCCGAAACAACACACAGATTGCCTGCATCAGCAGCATCAGGAGAACAGGACCCCACAGAGGAGAATAAAGCACACGCAAGAGCCTCTGCTCTGGAAGCAGAGCACAGATTGTGTCAAGAGGAAGAAACTCGGAAAGCAACTCCAGCTGCATCTGCACCAAATTAGCACTCACTGGGGAGATGCTACCAGGAACGGCCCCTATCTGAGGGGAAATAAAGGGGAAAATGGTGTTTCTGCTTCTCTGCTACTCCCTTTGATGTCGCTCATGACAGAGGACTGCTGACTTCAGCTGCACAGCCGGCATAGATGCTTGTGCTCAGGAAAACGCTCTTGGTTTGTTTTCCATACCTAAAAGCCTAAGAACTACCATCACAAACTACATTTCAGATACATCCAACGTTTTGGTTAACCCCCTGGGGCTGAAGGGAACCACCAAGGACTTTCCTCACTGCTACACCAAGACACACGAGATCCAACACCATGCAAACCTTTCTCAGCCCAAGCTTTGCCGCGATCTCATCCACAACCTCAGCTTTGGGATCTTCCAGGATCTCCAGGCTGTTCTGGGTACCAATCTGCAGCAGAGAAAAACAGGCTGGTGAGACACAACTGGAGAAAACATCATACACTTGGCCACTGTCAGGAGTGAGGCAGAAGGGAGGCAGAGGTCAAGGTTTCCCCTCCAACGTTACCACTGACCAGTTCCACCCCAGGGACCTCCTCTCCTCACAGGCCCATCCCACCGGAGCTCTTCAGCTGCTTTCAGCCTGTGTCAGGGTTTATGAATGAAACACTGAGCATTCACAAACAGGGCACTGCTGTTTCGGAGCACTTTGGAAAATGCAAGAGATTAAATCATTTTCCAAAGCTCTGTGTTCAACTGCCAGTTTCGCTGCTGCTTCATTTGTCTGCGTCTCTGAGCAGCAGAGAGGCAGGAATCTGGTGGATTCAAGAGCCCAGGCACAGGCTTTCCCCTCGTGCTCTGGAAAACACAACCCCATCTGGGTGTGTTTCAGAGGCAAGCTCTCGTGTGGGGAGATGCCGTGTCAAGAAGCACAGCAGGGGCTGCTTGCCAGGACAGCAAAAGCTTCCTTGCTCTTACCGTGCACAACTGAAAGCACATGAACTTCCAAAGCAGGAGCTTAACAGTGATGCTGAAACAACAGAGGGCTGGCTCTGCTCATATATACAGGTGTGTAGTGACAGGAAAAGGAGGAATGGCTTTAACCTGCCTGAGGGGAGACTGAGCTGAGCTCTTAGGCAGAAGCTCTTCCCTGTGAGGGTGCTGAGGCGCTGGCACAGGGTGCCCAGAGAAGCTGTGGCTGCCCCATCCCTGGCAGTGCTCAAGGCCAGGTTGGACACAGGGGCTTGGAGCAAGCTGCTCCAGTGGAAGGGGTCCCTGCCTGTGGCAGGGGCTGGAGCTGGACGAGCTTTAAGGTCCCTTCCAACCCAAACCATTCCATGACTCTACATGTGATCCATATTGGAGAGAAAGGAAGAACTCATAAAACTCTTGCAATTCTGCTCTCACACACACTCCTAAAGAGCCACTTGTTCCACTGATAAATCTGTTGCATCTCATTCTAACAGCCCTGCAGAAACCATCAAGAGGAAGAAAACATCCAACCCACCGCAGTACATTTGTACACAGTGACTGCACTTCGAGAAGTGACTTTGATCAGCACTGAAGATCCAGAAGGCAAACCCTCCTGCAAGCTGAGCCTTGGGCTGGGGGCAGAGTGGCTTTTTGCCTTTGCCATCTCCATTTGCAGCTCTCTAACACCACATTCAGCCTTTGGGCTCTTGGGAGGCCAGGCTCTCCGTGTGGAGCCGTGCACCATCTAGTGGGGACTCGGCTGCTCCGAGGCATCAAATCTCCTCCTCGGTGTCTCCATCACGGAGCAGACTGTATTTTTGTCTCATTAAACTGCTTCAAGTTTCCCAGAGAGCTCGTAAGGGTTTTTTTTTCCCTAGCAGACTTTGTTTTCAAGCTGTTGTGTATCACAGCCTTGGAAATCCACTAATCCAGGAAGTCTGAACGGTGAAATCCACTGCTCGGAAGTCACCCTTAGCTTTAAATCATCTGAACACAAAGTCACGTAAAAGAAAGTGTATAAATAACACAAAGCACACCTGGGTTTTAAAATCCTTCCAGTGGCAATAACTGACAGGGACATTAAAGACATAAATCCCATCACCTTTATCACGGGACTCCTGCTCATGGAGCTGCAGTTGGAAATACAGCAGGAAGTTTCCCCAGCACAGTGTTTCTGTGCTCCCTGTTTATGAGTGAAGATTGACTCCACGGGGCCCAGGTTTTACCTGTGGGGGTTCATAGATAGCAGCAACCTCAGCCCGGATGCCCAGGGGGATGTCTTTGTGCTCTGTGTACCGGCCATAGAGGTACCCGAGGTGTTGGTTCCCTGTCTTCCGCCAGAAGTCGAGGAAGCGATCTGCAATTGTGTGGTTCTCAAACATGATGTTGTCAACATGCCTGTATTTCTGTTTGACAAAGTTCAAGCGTCAGGCCATCCTACCACCGAAACCTTCCCGCTGCCCAGGACACACACCACCCCTCTGCAGCCTTCCCCTTTGGCACCACTGCCCTGCCCAGCAAGCAGAACCCGCCATGGGATGGAGCGTGGGGAAGCACTGAGCACCCCCTGAGCTTGGCTTCTTTCCTAGGGCCCTCTGCAACTAAAACCAGGCACTGATATTTAAGAGGAAACACAGAAAAGCGGTGGGTGGCCTTTTGAATCCCACGAGGAAAGAGTGGGGATCCATCAGCACAGGCGTCCTCCACGTCTAGAGGAAACTGCTGATCCAGGCACATTCTGGAGTCCTCTTCTGCAAGGACTAAAGACCTTAACAGCCACTTCCCAGCACCTGCCAATACTCAATACTGGCTGTTCTTGAAGCCCCCTCTCAGCTTTAGGCACAAGGCTCCTGCGAGCTCCATCTCACCTGTCTATTGAGAGTGATGGCGCTTGGCTGGCACTTTGTGCAGATGCCTTCTGGCCACGGAGGATGCCCTTCACAGCCTGACTTGATCTTACAGCTGATGTTCTCCAGGGCAACAAATTTCCCCCTGCAAGGAGGCAAAGAGGAGGCTGCTGTTACCACAGAGATGCTTTTGGGTCTCAAAAAACCCAAGTGGATCGCACTGAAGAGGATGCAGGGTAATGGGAAATGGGGCAGCAGCAATGCCTTGCATCTTCAGAGGATCTCAAAGCACCCTGCAAACTCCCACTGGGGAGTAACCTCTGCTGCCTACTTATTGTGGGAGGTCGAGAGGCTGATGTGTGGTCCCCAACTCAGCTCTTAAGCAGATAATTCGAGCAAGAGCAGAGATACAAAACTCATGGGACCCTGTTTAAATAATTCACGCAGCACAGGGGAAGTAATAGATTATACCACTAGGGCAAATTAGAGCTCCTTTCATGTGCAGGCTTCCTGCAAAGGGAAGCTCCCTTCAAATGGCTTGAGCTGCATCTCACAAAGCCATTAGAAAAATCCCAGTGGCATTTAGGAGTAGGAGGGAGGTTACACCTCTGTGTAACTCATCTAAGGGAGCTGCACTTCAGCACACAGGGGTTCCCTGCCAGTCCTGAAGGGACTTTAGATCCTTTGCTGTTCTTTTGGTGCTCCCTCTCTGCTCAGCACTTCCTGGCCTGTGTCACCAGTGTTCTCCACCCCCAAAAGGGTAGGACACCTCCTCCAGTTAGTGGGTGATGAACTATGGCACCACGACAGGCAAAGGTTTCACTAAGGACACACAGAGCATGGGACAGAGCAGAATCAGGCCCTGAGGAGTATCAGGCTCATCCTTCTGTCCTATTCACATTAGTAGGTAAGGAAAGCCGTTGATGAATCAAAGCTCCCCAGGCCCACCACAGTCTCAGTGCCTCTCCATGAGGTTTGAGACCCAGGCTTGGAATCATTATGGAACCTCCTTCCATCTGGCTTCCTCCCCCATCAGCAGCGTTTCCTGGAAGCAATTACACTGCCACAGCAAGAAAGAAAAGGAAAACACATTGGTTTTCCTGCTTTTCTTGCCCTTTTCTTTGCAACATGCTGTTTTCTCCTCGGTTTGCCATTCCCACAGCTGTACCCAACACTGCTCCAGTGAGACCTGTCTGTGCTTTCAGTTCTATTTTAAAAGGAAAAGAAGCTACAACAAGATTCCCTCAAACCCAGAGATTTTCTTACTTGTCTGCCCCTCCGGTCAGCTTCCTGATGTAGGCATGGAAGGACATGTGCTTCACAGGAGGTTCCAGATGGTTCAAATAATCCTCATCAAAAGGCTGCCAAACACACCACACAAAGCAAAGGCAGGTCAGACACCTGTCTGCTAACACACTGAGCACTGAGCAAATGGATGTTCTAGAGTCAACCCCTCTGCCTCTCAATATGGAAAGCATCAAGGAAGCTTAGGCTCATTTTCCAGGCAGCTACTACTGAGATACAAACAGTGAGGCTTTACAACAGCGAGGTTTAGTATCGCCTCCTACTTTTAGAACAGATTGGCTCCACAAATCACAATGAGCCTCAAAGGCAAAAGGCTTTTTCCCTTTCAATATCCAACAACAAACAAAGAGCCCAGCTGCTCAAACAGGGCCAAAGAACTTCCAGAGCACCCAGCGGGGGAACAGTCATCCTGGCTTGAGGGCTCTCTGCTTCGTGCCATAAATCACACAGCACATTTGTAGGTGTTACTAAAGCTGCCTTCAACGTGGTTGAACTGGGAAGTGCTGGGATCCATGGGAGGGGGTGAAACAAGCAGCTCCAGGCAGGGGACAAGAGGGAGGAAAACTGGAGCTTTTCTAAAGGCCTTTCTGCTAAACTCATCACTACAGAGAAGCAGAGCATGAACCAGAATGAACCCAGGGTCAGGAAGGCCTAGAGCTTTAGTGAGCCTGGATGTGAGCCAGCACCTCTGAGGGAGCACGCCAGGATCCTGACCCAGAGCTGCCACCCCTGCGTGGGCAGTGCTCCGAGGAAGAGCCTCCATCCTGGAGGAAGCTGAATGCAGGAGGATGTGCTTTTGTCTGACTTCCTAGGGCACCTACCCAGGGCTCTTACCTCCAGTGGTACACAGTGCACACACTTCCCCAAGGGGCCGTGGCGACACCTTTGCAAAGAGAAAGAGAAGCAGCGTTAGATCTCATTTAACCATGGCAAATCAGACTGGTTTGGGGTGTAAGATCTACACAGACAGGCTCTGAGTGCCTGCCCACTGGGGAACATCACAGAGGGGTCACCACGAGATTAAAGCTTCGCTCTATGAGTCCCAGGTCAAGAGGCAGCCCTGCTCCCGCCTGTGCTGTGCTCCGTGCAGAGCCACGTGAAGCCCTGTCAGATCACAGCTTCTCAAGTTTTACAGCCCCGCACTGGGGCTGCTTTTCAATTCAAAGAATTCCAAACCTACGTCACGGGCTGGGCCTGGGTGGCTTTAACAAAGAGACAAGCAAAACGTTCAGCCTTTATCAGGCCCCAGAGGCTGGGGTGGAACAAACAGGGCAGCGTGTGTTTATCGGGCAGATAAAGACCTGCTGGGGGAAGTTATAAAGCAGAGGGGGAAACATCTCCTTTTGAGGTGATTGCTTTAAACCAACCCCAAACCAATAAACCCTACCCCCCCCCTCTGCTTTAGGTCAGAGCTGGTTCCAAAGGAAGCCTCTGGAGAGGAGCACGGCGCTTGTAAAGGCAAAATGGATGAGATCCAGTTGCAGCATTGCTTTTAACAAAGTATTGTGGCAGATAATGTACATAAAGGACCTCTAAAGGCTGCTAATGCACTCAGCTGAGCGCCAGCATCCCTTCATGTTTAGATTGATACGCACTCCCAAATACAGGAACAAGCCCAGACACACTCTTTTTATCATAAATATCCACCACTGTGCTCTGGCTCCCTGCTAAGAACAACACCTTCATTTATTGTGCTGAAAATGTGGTCAAGTTAAAGGCAGGTTTTGTGCCATGGAGTGCTGGGGTTTTGCCTTGATTGTTTCAATAATGTGACACTTCCCTCATCTATCATCAGCCTGAAAAGGCTCCATAGCATTTGCCACGTAAAGGCTGCGTCTCTCCCCAGTTCCTTGCTGCTGCAGCACTAAAGATAAACCAGATGGAAGACAACACCACGGGAAGGGAGAGCTCTTCTGGTACAGAAAGAATTCCTGCTTGCCTTTAAAACCTTCACTCGAGCCCTTTCAGTTGCCCTGCAGGGGGGTCCAGCCCCAAGCCCATACCAGAGTAAGACATCGAGCCAGCACCCAGGGACGTTATTAAAGCAGTAAACCCCAGTTCTGCAGACAGAGGACACTGTAGCAGCATCAGTGCAGGTTTAGGCTGGTATTAACTCCCATTGTGTTCTTACCTCTACAAAAACCACAAGCTGCTCTGTTTACCCAAGCCTCTTGCAGCTCAGAGCCCTGGCAAAGCCAGGCTGTGTTGTTTGGCTGCGAGCAAAATGGACTCCCTGGTTCCACACAAAGGTTAGAAAGGCACGTGATGGAAAGGAAGCCAAAAACTAAGCAGGCAGAGACCCAAGTCTCACTTCCACATCTTTACCACTTGATACTCCCACTCATCCCTTTTCCTTCTGTGTTTTTCCTTTATCAGGAGTGGCTGGATCTTAAGATCCTGTGTTCCTGCTTGGGACATCAGGTAAGGCACCACCTTAAGACTGATGTGTGGCTATGTTGGTTCTGCCCAAGCAGGGGGAGACTGCAGTGACCAGAAAAGGCAACACTGCCTCCTGACAGAGGATTTAGGAAGCAAATCTGACCCTGATGCTCACTCAGCACCGGGTGCGAGCTGCATATTGACACCATATGGGACAGAAGCTGCTGTGGACAGCAGGCCCCTGCTTCCTAAGCACTGTACCACCCACAGAGCACAACCTCCTGTTACTACACAGCACCGGCTGCTGGGACGACCCGGGAAGGACTCAAAGGATTCATTTTAATCCCAAGAACTCCAGTGTTTTAGGAGCACAAACCATATGATCCCAAGTCCCATAGCAGGGGCCACCTTGACCAGAACAATGGATGCTCAAAATGAGTCCTTCCTGGCAAAGACCCTGGGATTTTGGTATCTGCTTCCTTCCTTCACCAGAGCTTGATTTAACCTCCCAGGACAATGACAAGGGCTGTTTTTCCTTGTGAACATTCCAAAGGCAGCAGTGCAGGGGGCAGGTCCTGTAGTACATTTCCTGGCTGCTTGGCTACAAGCTCTGGTGAGGCCCAGATGCATCAGCAGAAGCAAACTGGAGCCGTACTCACAGCTGCTGGTCTCGGTTCCGGTAAATCTTGCCATCCTGTTTGATCAGATACTGGTCGATCTCATCTTCCACCACCTGAGGGGCCCCCATGGGCCGCAAGCTTTGGGAGACAGAGGTGTCCATGGTCTCTGAGGAGGAGCCAGCCGGGCTCGAGGGGTAGAGGAACAGCATGTCACCATGCCTGTAGGTGTGGGAAACAACACATGGGTATCAGGAGATGCTTCTGGGTAGCAAACCTCCCAGACCATAGAGAGCACATAATTTATCACAAACTGTATCACAGAATCACATATGGTAACATATAAACTTATATAGACTAATAAACACACATAAACTAATCATAGAATCCGAGACTGGTTTGTGTTGGAAATGACCTTAAAGCTCCTCCAGCTCCAACCCCTGCCACCAGAGCAGCTTGCTCCAAGCCCTCTCCAGCCTGGCCTTGAGCACTGCCAGGGATGGGTAAAGATGGAGAAAAAGGCAACAGGAGGATATGAAGAGAAGTAACAGCTCCAGCAGGAAAAAAGAGCTCCTGTGGATCCTGTGCCCATCAAGTCACAGCCTTCCCGAGGCAGCTGCCAGCACTGACACATTCAAGTGACAAGTTGCAAGCGGTGGTAACAGCTCCTGTATTTTTAACCAGTTTAATGTTACTCTTGACACCAACAGAATGAAAACATTCCCAGCAAACATGAGGCAACTGCACCATTGGCACCACTCATCCCAGCTCCAGGACTGTCAGACCCTGGCATCGACGCAGAGCAAAAGGGGAGTGGAAAGGGGGGATGCTGCAGGCTGGGAGAGCAAACAGAGGGCTTGGTGCTGCCTCACCACCAAACACACCACCAGAAGTGACCTAAGAAACGGCTGCTGCAGCCTCACACGTTGTCAGTTTGATCACCCCCCATTTCACATCAAACTTGTCCCTTCAAGGAGCTGGCAAGAGACAGCCAAAAGCTTGGCACTGCTGCAAGGTGACGTGGCTGCTGCTGCCCTGCGCCCCCCTGCACCCACTGTGCTGCCCCCACACTCACTTGATCTTCAGCAAGTTGAGGGATTTGTTTTGTGCTGCTGTGATCTCGCCTGTCCTGTTTCTGTTGGTGTACACGGAAAAGCCATTATTCCTGAAGCCAAATTCTTTTGCAACCTGAAAGAGAGACAAGAAATGACACGGTTGAAGGCGCCTCGCACCCCTGGATGGATGCTGAAAGCTGCTTAGAGTGCTAAATCCAGGGAACTCCTATTGCAAAACTTGAGCTGAATTCATCTGCATTTCTGAAGGGCAGAGGATAACCAAGGAAAACAGAAACACTGAGTAACACAAGAGATCTATTTTAAAAAGGAACTGAAACAGAACACGTCTCTCACTCACACAATGCAAACGCAGCACTTTATCTAAATCCAGGCAAGTGCTGTCATGACTGCAAGGGGGAAACTCTCTCCTCATTACCCCAAGTCTCTTGCTCAGCCTTGCCAAGTCATCCTCACCTTCCTGTGACCACAACTCCTCCATCCAGAGCTTCACCTCTGAGCATCTCTTGCCCTCATCTCCTAGTTGTTCTCACCTCCCTCTGCTCTCACCCACCAGATGCTACATGGGTTTCACTCAGGCTCTTCCCGCTGTTCTCCCTTCTGTTTTTCCTCATTTACCTCTTTCTCCCAATGGAACTCCCCCTCACAACAGCCACCTCTCAGGCCCAGGCAGGTTTTTCCCTGCTCATCCTCTCACCAGTTCACTTTAAGGCTGTTTTACTCTTGCTCAGCCAAACACCTCTTCACAGCAACAGCAATTCTTACACTGGGCCACTTAAAGACAACATCAGGCTCCAAGGGCTGTTAAAAGTTTCTCTAGATGACAAATTGCATCTGAAACGCTCAAGTGAGCAGCCTTGCTTTGCATCTAGAACATCTCCCTGTGGCTTTGCTGGGGCTCACGGGCAGTGACTGCACACAGGCCCAGCCTCAGGAGCCACAAGCAGAGAGCAAAGCCATGGAAAGCATCTTCTCCATCTGAATCAAACAGTCCCTTGCCAGGATTCACTTCGTTTTGGGGAGACAAACCCCCCAGTACGTTACCAAGAGGCACGAGGCAGTTCCTCCCTCATTCCAACCTGCACACACCCCAGAGCTCACGTTGCAGTGCTCTCACCAAGGAGGTGCTGTACAAGACAAGATAACCGAGCCCTTCACTCTGATTTCTTCCTTCTTTTGTGGCTTCTCTGGAGTCAAGGGGGAGATCCAAGCTAATTGCCAGCACAGAAGCAGCAACCCGATGCTGTTTTAATTGCAGCTAAGTACAAACCCCACCATATGCATGAACATCTCAGTGTTACAATCCACAGCTATTAACATGTGCAGATCCTGGGGGGTAACGTTTGCAACTTTCCTCTTTCAAGCAAACCCTGTACCAGGAAGAAAAACCCACCCATGTCTTGTATTCAGCTCAGGAAGAGGACAGAGCTTTCCTCAGGCCAACAGGCAATGTCAGGGAGTGCTGATGCTTTTGTTCCAACCAAGTGGTTGCAGCAGGAGTGTTCCACACGGCCTCGGGTAATATGAACCCCTGAAAGCAGCAGCTTGTTTTGCACAGGGAGTCTGAAAGCTTTTCTTTCCTTGGGTGAAGCTGTTGAGGGATCGAGGGGTGGCTCTGACCCAGCCCTGAAATCCATCAGGATTTTCGCCTGCTCAGGTGAGGATTGATGTGATGGTCTGAGCCCAAGCATCAAACAGAGGCAATGACTCACAGAGAGCAGGAGGTTTCACTCTGTTCCCACTCCCCCTCGCAGGGGGGAAAGGAAATGGAGCTGACTGAAAGAAAGGCCCTTCAGGCACAGGAACACAAAGTGCTTCTCTTATAAAGCAAAGGAATCCTAATCTGACAGTTCCAGGTTAGAGCAGAGCTCCAGGAGGGAAGGAAACAGAACTGCTTGCTCCTGAACAGCAAACTTTAAACACTGAGCAGTTGAATCCAGACCAAAGAACAAGCCACAGCCAACTCCAGCACTTGTATGTTCTCCTCATCCCAGGGTGGAAATCCTTCCCAGCAGATGCCAGAGGCTCCCACATCACCTTAAGAACTTGCCTCCATTCCTTCCCTGCTCTCTCCAAAACCATACTGGAAAACCAGCAGCACACAAAGCACATTCAAATGTTATTTAAAGCATAAATCAAGCAGCTGAGTCTGACCTGAAAAGGCCAAAGGCTTCGACTATCAGCTTTCATAGAGTCACCAACTGGCTGGAAGGGACCTTAAAAGCTCCTCCAGCTCCAACCCCTTCCACTGGAGCAGCTTGCTCCAAGCCCCTGTGTCCAACCTGGCCTTGAGCACTGCCAGGGATGGGGCAGCCACAGCTTCTCTGGGCACCCTGTGCCAGCGCCTCAGCACCCTCACAGGGAAGAGCTTCTGCCTAAGAGCTCAGCTCAGTCTCCCCTTGGGCAGGTTCAAGCCATTCCCCTTGCCCTGTCCCTACATCCCTTGTCCCAAGCCCCTCTCCAGGTTCCCTGCAGCCCCTTCAGGCACTGGAGCTGCTCTACGCTTTCCTGTGTCCCTACCAGCCCCCGCTCCCATTTCTTTACAAGCCCCCTACCAACGTGCCCCACAAACCCATCCTGTCCCCCCGCAGAGCCCCCGGTACCTTCTTGAGGAACGTCGCCACCGTCTCCCGCTTCGTGGCCGTGATTCGCTTCACCCCCTCCGGCGACTGCACCCGGATGATCTGCGGGGGGAGGCCACTGCGGGTCAGTGCTGGGCCAGGGACAGAGCCCACCCTGCAGCAGCCTCCCCAGCATCCCCCCCGCTCCCAGCGCCCCTCTTCAGAACAGGGGGCAAGCACAAGGGAGGGTGGCACCGGCTGCACTCTGCACAGCACAGGGTGAGGTACCCACGATGCAGGAAGCTGGCACCAGGAAGAAACCGGCGCTGGTTTTGTTTGGGTCCGAGCTCTGAGCTCAGACGTGGAATTGAACTTCCAGGAGCGTGAATCAGAGGTTCCACGGGAGGGATTTACTGAGGGCCTGCGCACAGACACCGGTCTAACCGGTGCTCATGGGCACCTGAGCTCCTGTTTCGAGTGATGGGTGACTTCCATCGCTACTGAAGAGATGAGGGGAAGAGCCACAGGCTCAGGGTGCTCCTGGGACACAAAGCAGCAGCTGAGCTGGGACCTGGAGCGAGAAATGGGGAAAACCGGCACTTCTGGGGACAAAAGGCCGGGCACAACCCTTCACAAAGGGGCGAACATCAACGCCAATGTCCCCATGCTGCTGAGAGCTGGAGAAGTGACTTAAGCTGCCCTAAAGCTGCCCTAAAGCACGTTCACCTGCAGATGGGTTCTGCAGCGCCAGGCTCAGGCTGGCAGCGTGTGCTGGAAGGAGGGACACGGGAGGACACGGGGGGACACGGAGGCTGCGGTGTCCCGGCATTACCTCGCAGCGGCCCCTTTAACCCTCTGACTTCCAGCCCAGGAGCGAGCCCAGCGCCACGGGCACAGGACACCCTCACGGCACCGGGGAGCCCCTTCTCCAGCGCTACCGGCTCCCGGCCAGGACAGGGCCCCTTCCCCCGGGACCGCTGCTAACGGGGACCCGGCCTCACGGTCCCGAACCCCGCACGCTCCGAGGGGGCGCCGGGCCCGGACACCTCCACCCCCTGTGCGGGCCCCGGTGCGGGCTGAGCGCGGCCCGGCCCCGCCGCCCCACAGGAATCTGCTGCCTCATCGCCCCTCCCCCCGGCGCGGCCGCCCGGCCCCACTCACGATGGTCTCGGCCATGGCGCTGCCCCCCGGGCCCGGGCCCCGCCGCCACGTCCCGACACCGCCGCGGCCCTGCCCGGCCCTGCCCGCTCCGCTGCCTGCCCCTGCCCGCTGCAGGCCCGCCGCCTCCCGGGCCCGGCCCGCCGCCTGCGCCCGCTCCGCCCGAGCCCCGCACCCCGGCACTCGCGTTCCGCAGCTTGAGAGTTCCTACCCCTGGCGGGGCGGTGCACCCGCCACAGCCGTCCCCCTGCTCTGCTTTGGTGCTACATCCGTAGCGGTCCCCCGCGCTGCCTCGGTGCACTCACCTCAGTCGTCCCTCCCTGCTACCGCACCCTCACTTTCGTTCCGGCCACAATCGGTTCCCCCCACCCCAGCATCATGCAGCAGGGCCCGGCCCGGCCGTGGGGTTCCCCGGTGTCCCCGCACGGAGCTCGGGTGGGCTCCGGCGGGGCGGGCAGCGAGACCGCGGCTCTGCCCGGGGCTGAGCCCGACATCACCCCGCACCCTGTGCCCCGGTGCGGGAGCTGCGGTGGGGCCGGACCCACATCGGACCCAGCTGCGGGGCCGGGAGCCATGGCCCTATTTAAGCGCCGGCCACAGCCCCTCACATGATGGGAGCGTGACCGCTCTGAGCCCCGGCACCGCGCTGCGAGCACGATGGCGCTGGGCAGAGCGCGGCCCCGTGGGGCGGCCGGCGGCGGGGAGCGCGCCCGGCTCCTGCCCCAGGTAACGCCGGGACCCCCGGCACCCCCTGCACCCCGACTGCAGGGTGCGGGCTCCACGCAGCGCCCGCATCCCTGGGGGTACCCATGGGGATGAACCCGGGTTAGGGGCAAGGTCTCTGCCCTGGGTCGCTGTGCTGGGGTGGACGTGGGGCACCCTGTGCTGGGGGTGCACGGTAGCTCCTGGAGCTTGTGACAGCCCCTGGAGGTGGGGCGGGGGGTACATGGGCTGGGGGGGGGCTGCCCTAATGGCTGTGAGTGGTTTGTGCATCCATGCAGGCGTCCCGGCTGGTGGAGCTGCCCTGCTCCTCCTCTGATGATGATGATGATGGCAGTGATGGAGGCATGGACCTTCCCGCATCCCAGCTGGACTCTGCCGTGAGCTGCAGCATCCCCCCCGCACCGAGCGCCTTCAGCCAGTGCGTGCGGCACCTGGCCTTCCTCTGGAACCTCCTCTTCCTCCTGCTGGGGCTCCTGGCCCTGGCCCTGGGGCTCTGGGGGCTGCTGGCCAAGGGCTCTCTGGCCGGGGGGCGCTTGGCCCTGCTGGGCTCTGACCCGATGCTGCTGTTCGTGCTGGCGGGGCTGGCGGCCAGCGCCGTGTCCATGGCCGGCTGCCTGGGTGCGCTGCGCTCCAGCCCCTGCCTGCTGCGCTTCTTCACGGGTGCCGTGCTCGCCTTCGCGGCGCTGGAGGTGCTGGCGGCGCTGCTGGTGCTGGCGGCGCGGCACCGGCTGCGGGACGCGGTGCGGGACGCGCTGCTCCTCTGCCTCCTGCGCTACCAGGACGAGCCCGACCTCCGCTTCCTGGTGGATGAGGTGCAGCGGAGCCTGCGCTGCTGCGGCCTCGGCTCCTACCGCGACTGGGAGGCGAACCCGTGAGTGGGGCACTGGGGTGGGTACAGTGATGGGCATCCCGCACCCACGGACACGGCCGCTCTCCTTATCCATCCCTACAGGTACTTCAACTGCAGCGCCCCGGGCGCGCAGGCCTGCAGCGTGCCCGCATCCTGCTGCCTGGACCCGTGGCAGAACGGCTCCGTGGTCAATGCCCTGTGTGCCACCGGAGCGCTGCGCCTCGGCGATGCAGCGGCCGGCACCGTGGTGTACGTGGGGGGCTGCGTGGCTCAGCTCAGCGCCTGGCTCCGCGGCCAGGCCGGTGCCATTGGGACCAGTGCGGCCGTGCTGGTGCTGGTTGAAGCCGTCGGTGTGCTCATGGCGTTGAGGATGCTCAGAGACATCACAGCACGGGGGTGAGGGGGCAATGGGGGACACCAGTGGTGCGTGATCCAACCCAGAATAAACCTCATCAAAGCCAAACCCCATCCGTGTCCTGCCCGTCCCACCTCGCTTCCCATGCGCATCCCTGCCAACCCCATAGCACGACACCAGGCTCCCGGGGCTCGTTTTGGGTTTTAATGAGCATTTCTCCAGGCTGAGCCCCGCCATAAGGACGGGGCAGGCTCTACCTACACAGCACTAAAGGGTGGGAGCGCAGCGGTGGCTGCAGCCTGCCTAGATGATGCCGTACTGCGCCAGCTCGTGCAGCTCCAGATGGCTGAAGGCTTCCCAGGGACAGATGACGGTGATATCTGGGGAGAGGAGAGAGCTTGTGTCAGCACAACGGCCCCATTGCAGGCTGCAGCCGGCCCCATTCCCCACCCACCACAAAGGGGGGGACGGGACCCCCATGTACCTGTTCCCAGCCCCTCCATGCCCGGGATGTCGTCGCCGAACCTGTAAAGAGAGGCAGTGTCTGACCCCCATCCAGCCCCCCTGCCCCATGCTGGCACATGGAGCTGTGCCCCCCGCATCCCTGCCCCACTCACCCCTGCACCCCCTTCTTGGGGGGCTTGCTTTTGAACTGCCTCGTCTGCCTCTGTTTGAACTTGGGGGGGCCCTTCCGGGGGGTGGCGGGTCCCCCCGTCACCCTTGTGGCTGACTTGACCTCCACCTTGGGGGGCTCCAGGCTCATGGCTGTGCTGGGGTCGCTGTGGGTCTGGCGCTGGACGGCTCCTCACACCTGGACGAGGGGAGATGTGGGGGCACCGGCTCCCCCCACCGTGCTGTGTGCCCCCGGCACCCCTCGGTTATCACTGATCCACCCCGCAGCAGAGCCCCCTCCCTACAGCCTTGCCTTAGCCCAGCTCAGAGCCCGATAATCCCCTTGCCCCAAAGGCAGGGAAGGGCGTCCATGGGGATACGGAGCTGCTGCCTCCCTTGGGGCTGCTCCTCCAGCCCTCGGTCCCTGCCCCAGCATGGATGGAGCTCCCCATTGGCATTGCCAGGACCCCCAGCCATGGCTCATGGCGGGTCTGTGCCACAGGCGTGGGAGCAAGGCATCCCTCAGGATAACGGGATGCGATTTGGGAATGGTGGGCACCCCACGCTGCCGATGCCTCTGGGTCCATGCTGGGATGCAGGCGACCAGAGCCAATGGACATCACAGGGCAGCACATGGACTCCATCCCACTGTGCTTGTGCCTCTGAGCACTGCAACCACACCATGAGCTGAGATCCAGCACCGATGTGAGGGGGTTCAGCACCACTGTGGGGTCCACGCTATGGGATCTGGCCTGGGGAGATGCCAAAGGTACCCGGCTCCCAGCTGCAGGCGCAGAACCCAACAGCAGGCTCCTGCCTGGAGCACAGCACATCCCATCCCAGTGAGCCCCAGTGCCACCGGGACCAGGTCCCATCCCATGCATGGGGCAGAGCCCCCGACTTACTTGGCCGCCGCGGTCCTTGAGGCCAGCGCTGCTCCACAGGGCCCCTCCGTCCTCCAGCTCACCCCCTGCAGAGCTCTGGGGGGGCTTTTAGGGGAGGGCAGATTTATCCTGCTCCGGGTAATAGGATTATTCACGTCCCTGCTTCCCGCAGGGGTAATCTGGTGTCCTTCCCTGCGGGATGGGGGCGTCTGGATTAGAGCTGCTGGGAATGACGGTGTCAGGATCCCAGACCACCGAGGGGATGCCCCACTCCCCCCAAAGGTCACCCCAAGGCCCCTTGATCACGGGGATGCTGCTGTTGGGCTCCTGCCTGCAGGCACTGCCAGAATCCATCCTGGGTCGGGTGCATTCTGCCCTTCCAGGGATGGATTCATCCCTATGGATGCCACCATCGCTGCCTTTACCTGGCAACTGCACCGACACCGGGCAGTAGTGGGGCAGCCCCACTGGCTTGGGATGCTATCATCCCAAAGCTTCCCTTAATCCCAGCCTTAAAGCAATTACAAAAAGGAATAATCTCAGTACACTTTAATTGAACTTCAGCCCCTGCTGCTAATTGCAATTAGTTGGGCTCCAACAAAGAGGATTACAGGGATCTGGGTGCGTTTCCTATGGAGCCGGCAGAACCGGCTCCTCCTCGGGCCCTGGTGTCAACGGCTGCCTCCAGCTTGGCCTTTGTTAGCTCAGCTCCAGGGCTTCGTGGCTAATAGGGGAAGCTCATCCCAATGGCCAGGAGTCCCCTGGCCCCAATGGGCAGGATGGAGCTGGGATGCGCTGAGCCAAATGATGGGGTTCAACATGGAAACAAAGGCAAGGGCACCGGGAGCAGCCCCAAAGGCTGTGACCCGGGTGCTGGTGCCCTTGGAGGCTGCAGCCCCACGTGCTGGGGGCCGCACACTGCCTCTGCCTCCCTTCACACCACAGAAGCCCCTAAGAGGCTTAGAGCCATGGGGAACGGGGGGGTCCGGTGCGGGGTCCTGGCCCGCCCCACTCACAACCAAGACGTAAACGGTGCTTAAAGCCCAAGCTGGGGGCACAAGGACGGGGTGGGAGCAGTGATGGGGTGGGGGGGGAAGCACTGCCTGCCCTTGGATGGGATTTACCAGCCCAGGGTGCTCAGCACACAGCCTGCCCATGTGGTGATGCCGCACGGGTCCTTGGCAGGGCTCAGGATGTCCCCAGCCCATCCCAGTACACACAAACACTTCCAACCAGCGCAGGCTCCATGGAACAAGCAGAGGCTCCAACGGGGGGGGGTTCCCCATTGGCTCTGGGGGGGCCGGGGGATGCTCAGTCCTTCCCCATGCGCAGCCTGATCTCCATCCTCACGATGGCTTTAACGTTCTCATCCTCCACGTGCTCCTCCAGCGCCGCCAGCGCCCGGGCCCCCCCGTCCTGGTACCGCTGCAGCAGCTCCTCCACGTACCCGACCCACACGCAGTTGGGGCACCCGGTCCCGCAGCAGTGGGTCGGGGGGGGGGGCAGCTCTTTGTCATCTTGGGGTGCCCCCCCGCTGCCATCGCTCCCTGCGGTGCCGCTGCCCTTTGCTGCCGTGTCCGAGCGCTCCCGAACACTGGAGGCGTTGGAGGGGTGGGAAAGGGGGGACCCTGTCCCGAGCACCCCCCCACTGCTGCTGGTGGCATCCGGGGGCTCCTGAGAACAAAGACACTGGCATCAACTGGGGGGGATACATGGGGACAGCCCTGCCCCCTGCGTACCCCCATCCCACCATTGACCCCCCCATGCCCCCCGCTCTCCCTCAGCCCCCCCTCCCCAGCACCCCTCTACTCCCCCATTTCCCTCCTTAGCCCCACAACTCATCCCCAGCACCCCCTTATTTACCCCCAGCCTCTCCTTACCCCCCCCATCCCTCCACCTTATCCCCAGCATCCTCTTGCCACCCCCCCCACTCACCTTTTCCCCTCGGCAGCCCCCCAGCACATCCCCAGCACCTATTGCCCCCCATTCCCTCCTATCCCACCCCCAGCACCCGCTTACCCCCTAGCTCCCCTTTGGCCCCCCATCCCTTCACCCCATCCCTCTCCATTACCGCTCCAGCACCCCATATCCCCCCCATAGACCCCACCCCCCCATCACCCCCAAATCCCACCCCCAGCACCCCCTTACCCCCCCCGTGTCCCCCCTTTGACCCCCTCCTCCCATTGCCCCCTCCCCAGCTCCCCCCTCACCCCCCGCCGCGCCCCCGCCAGCCCCCGGGCTCCGCGCAACAACATCCGGGCACTGCCGCCCCTTCCGGCCCCGCCTGAGTGACAGCTCTGCCAGCCAATGGGAGCCCGGATGATGAGGGACCGGGGCTGCATGTAGCCAATAACGAGCAGGGGGCGGGGCAGGGGCGGAGGAAGGCGGAAGAGGCGGTGGGGTTGGCACGTGGGGAGCGGCGGAGCCATGGGCAGGGGACCGGGGCCGGGACGGAGATGGGGACAGAAACCGGGATCGGGACCGGGACAGAAACAGAGATCGGGACCGGTACCGATATCGGGACAGAAACAGAGATCGGGACCGGGATCGGGACAGAAACAGAGATCGGGACCGGGATCAGGACAGAAACCGGGATCGGGACAGAAACAGAGATTGGGACCGGGATCGGGACAGAAACAGAGATCGGGACCGGGACAGAAACAGAGATGGGGACCGGGATCGGGACAGAAACAGAGATCGGGACAGGGACAGGGATCGGGACAAGGACCGGGACCAGCCGCCCTTCGTTGCAGTAGGTCAGTGCCCATGGGATCCGGTCCGGATAGGGCTTGGACCCACGCGGGTCTTGGGCCCGCAGGTGCCTCACCAGGTATCCGGTATCCTGCCGTGCCCTGGTCCCCATATCCCTCCATGCCCGGGTCCCGGTGCCCAGCTCGCTGTGTCCCACTGATGTGCCCGCATCCCGGTGCCCCGTCGTGCCTGGATCCCGGTGCTTCGGGACAGGCCTCGCACCGTGTCCGTTCTCTCGCAGGAAGCAGAAGTTGGACAACATGAAACCCAAGCACCCGGACGAGCAGGAGATCCCCTTCCGCCTGCGGGAGCTCATGCGGAGCCGGGAGGCCATGAAGCGCCGGGATCCCGGGAAGCAGAAAGCCGCAGGTGGGATGCAGAACCTGAGCATCCCATGGCACAGCTGGATCCTGCAGAGCAGCATCCTCTGACGTCCCACCCCTGCTCTGCCATGGGGAGGGACCCCCTGCCAGCGCTGCTGCCCTGATGCCACCCATCTCTCCTAGAGAAGCAGCAGCCCAAGGCAAAGGGCCCCAAAGCCCAGGGGGACGTCCCCGTGCCCAGGTTCAGGAGAGGGAAGGGGGAGTCGGAGCGCTCCTACGTGTGCCGCATGGAGCAGGAGGTGCAGCGCGTCCTGTTCCTCACCGAGAACCAGCTGCAGCGGGAGCCGGAGAAGGAGCTGGCGGCACCGGAGAAGTCCCAGAGGAAGAAAGCGTGAGAGCAAGGCTCCTGTGGCTGCTGGGCTGGAGGGGGCAGCCCAGGCCTGTCCCCTGGCCTGGTTTGGGGGTGTGCTGGGTGCTTTGCTGGTGCTGCTGGGGTGCAGGTGGAAGGCTATGGACCTCCATGGGGCTGAACTGCTGGTTGGGCTCAAGGCGGGGGGCTCTGGGTTTTGAGGGGGTGCCATGGGGTAGGAGCTCACTTGTTCAATCACCGGTCCTGGCCATAACGGAGCTCTTCAGGTTTCAGAATAAGAAGCTGGAGAAAGCTCGGAAGAAGAAGGAAGAGAAGAAAGAGGCCATGCTGGAGAAGAGCCTGTTCCAAGGTGGGTCTGGCTCTGGGGTGCATGGAGTCACCCCCTTACCTAGCAGTGTGTGGGGGGTGTTCCGGCTCTGATGCTGGCGTCTGCTTCTCTCTCAGACACGGTGGCATTTGGGGACGTGGTCACGCAGCCACCCACCATCACATCACGGCCCAGGGGCCAGGGCCCTGCCGAGCAGGTGAGGTCCGGGGGTGCTGCCTCCTGCCCGCTGGGTACCCGCAGCGCTGGGCTGGACCCGGTCACCCTATCCCTTGTGCTGGGCATCACTCCTGGACAGGCAGCTCTGGCTCAGCCTTGGGGTCTCAGCTCCCCAGAGCCTGCTCCTGCCTTTCCCCCCCCATCCCTGCTGACTGCCCCATCCCTACCTGCAGGCTGGACGGAAGCGGCTCCTCCTGACGCCGCGCCTGGGCCGGAGCCCGGCGGTACCGGCAGTGCCCGTGTCCATGGCTCGGCAGCGCATCGTGGCGGAGGAGAGGGCTCGCGTCATCCAGGCCTACAGGGACATCCAGAGGCGCAAGCAGCAGCAGCGGGAGGCGGCAGAGGCCGGACGCGGGGTCGGGCGCTGAGCACAGTGGGAGCGTGCAGGCAGCACCGGGCCCCAGGACTGGAAGGGGACGCGGTCCTGATGCTGCTCTTCTGTTGCCAAGCCCTGGGACTCCCCACAGCGCCGTGCCTAAGCTCAGGGCACCCCATGGGCTCAGCGCTGGGGCTGGGTCCCCCCCAGCACCATAGATGTGCTTGTAGTAAAGGTGCCATTGAGTGCCTATGGCATGGGGGTGTCCGTGTCCTCACAACCTGCCCGGCTTGCTTTCTGTGTGGCAGCCAGCAAGGGGCAGTCCCTGTCCCTTACCCTGCCATTGCTCAGCCATGAGGGAGACCCCAGTGCTTGGCTGTGACCCCTCCAGGGACATGGAGCATCCCACAGAGCTCACCTGCGCCGTGTTGTGTCCATCCCTTGTCACCACACAGGCACACCATGATCTGCCCTCAGTGCCCTTTACCCAGCACTGCCCATGTCCCTGCCAGACACCGGTGTCACCGTGACCGCGGTGCCCTCCCCATCGCTGCCCCGTTACCAACCCCGTGCCGTGAGGCCCCCATGGAACCAGCCCTGGGGAGGGCTCCCGGTTGATGCTCCCAGCACTGCACATCCCATACCCGCGGCGAGGGCTTCACCTGCGCACACAAAGGCCGCGCTGTTCCCTGCCCCGTGCGCACAAAGCGCTGCCTGTCGGAGCGGGGCCGGCCCCGGGGCTGCGGCCGGCGCTGGCGGCAGCCGCTGGGATCCAGGCTTCCGGAGGGGCTGGGTGCGGGCAGAGCGGAGCCACCGGCAATGGGGACAAAGCGGTTGCGCCTTGTTTGTGCTTCGGCTGCCGCCCCCTTGCTGCACTGCACAGCCTGCAGGTGCCTGCGTGGGCGCTGAGCTCCCCGTGCATGCTGCTGATAACACCCCCGGGGACTCAAGTGCCTGGTGCTGCTTGGAGATGTCCCCGGTGCCAACCAGCACCAGGTAAACACGGGTGACGCAGCTCAGCCCTGGGCGCCACAGCCACATCCTGCTGCAAACAACCCTGTGGCCATGCCTGGCCTCTAGCGCTGCCACGGGCACGAGCTGCATGGCAAGGGCACAGCCAGGACATGGCATGTGCCAAACTCTTGCTTGTGCATCCCTCGCGCACGGCCCCATCCCTGCTCAAGGAGACCAGGTCACGCCTGCCCCCACGCACCCATTTCAGCCCCTGAATAATTCATGGTGCTGCTGGCCGCAGGCTTCCTGCCCGGCACAGGCATCGCTGCCGAAGGGAAAGGCAATCCGGGCAGCAGAAACCACCCCGACCTTGGCACGTCCTCTGTGCCGTGCCGCTTCCCACCAGCAGCCCATCTGCCTGCGCTGCGCTGCCGGATCCGGCCCCATCTGTGCTGTCACGGGGGGCCCCGCAGCCCCCATAGAAAGGGCAGAGCCCCACTGGTACCGTGGCAAACGCTGTTGCTCCGGTGGGGTCGTGGATGGGGAGCTGGGTACCACCTCCCCATCATGGGCAAGCGCCGCGTAGGAAAAACCACCTTTATTGGGGCTGACCTGAAAAAAAGGGGGAAAGAGGAAAAACAGGGAAAGCCAAGAGGAGGGTGAGGGCCCAGCTCCCTCCCTGCTCCCCAGGAGGGATCCTTGAGCCCCGAGGTGGGGAAGGCACCGAGAAGGCGGCTGGAGCCGCAGGATGGGGTCAGGTCCCAGCTCCAGCAATGGGGAAACTGAGGCACAGCAGGAGCCAGAGCTGGGGAGAGCTTCACATCACCGGGTGCCCTGCAGTGGGGCGCTGCTGGCTCAGTTCAGGGCCCATGGGGTGGCGAGAGCCAGTGCGGAGCCAAGGGCTCAGCACCCTGGGCACGGGTCCCCTGGCTCCCTGGCAGTGCGTGGTCCCTGGCATGGGGACAGGGGGTGTCCGTGCATCACGAAGGCAGCGAGGGGACAAGTCGGGGTGGCCCCATGGGGAGCCAGTCCTGGGGTCCGGCAGAGCTGGCAGCTTGTGGGTGCCGCAGGCAGGAGCCATGGCTCCGGGTGCATCCAGGCTTCACCTGCACAGGACCCAGCTCCGGCTGCTGATGGGATGGGCTGAACACGGTGGGGCACAAGGAGGCTTGGTGAGACCTCGGGAATAGGACGGTGGTGCCGCGGCTGTGCCGGCGCTGTGGGATCCGTGCCATGGGGGCTTCACCACCGGTTCCTGCTGTACGGGGACTGCACCTGCGGGCAGAGCGAGGTGGCACTGGGGTGGCAGACCCGGCCCTGGCACCGGTGCCGTGGTGCAGCCTGAGTCACTCCCACGGGAGACGCTGCGGTGGGGACGGACTTTGCCCCCCTGGTGTTGCACATTAACCCACCTGGCAGCTCCTGCCGTCCCGTGGGGTGCCACCGGGCCGGGCCTGCACCGCAAACGCGTCCTCGGCTCGCAGCGTGGAGCTGGTGCTGCCGGCGGCCGGGCTGGCCGTGGAGGCGCGCGGTAGGATCATGTCGTAGGCACCTTCAGCCTGAAGGGTGGGAATGGGGGGGCTGCAGCATCACCACCACCGCCCCCCCAGCCCCATAGGGTCCCAGGGGAGGAAGGCGAGGGGTGATGCTTCCCAATTACAGCAGCCCTTGTACATGGGGTCCCCATCCCAGGCGCTCCGGTTGGAAGCCCATCCATCAGGCAGGATGCAGCCACCACTGCAGAGCCCAGCATCGCACTTACCGGTCCCTTGTGCATCAGGGCCATCTCGGTGGGCTGGTAGACACTGGTGAGGAGCTGCCCGTTGTAGCCGCTGTACGGTGACACCGGCTTCTTGGCTGCAAAGAGATGGGGGCAATGAAGAGGGGGGGCTCAGAGCCACCCCACCCATTGGTCCTCATTAGCAGGTTTAAATGAGCTGACTCAGTGCCACTCCCGGGGCACAGGAGGGATGTCCCTGGGGTTTGCATCACCCGCACGGCCGGGGTTTGTTATTGTAGGGTCACTGGGGAGCACCCACCCTGCCCCATGGGCTGCAGACACCTTCGCTGGCACCCAGCTGCCATTCCCTACAACAACATCACCCTGTGTCATTGTAGGGTCTCGGTGAGCGGAGCGCCTGCCTGGGGCGGAGGGCCGGGAGCACCCCTGCGGTGCTGAGCTCAGCCCAAACTGGTAAACCCAGCCCAGCGAGTTCTCGGGAGCCACAACCACGTCAAGGCACCAATCCCGGGCAGGCCGTGGCCAGACGTCTCGCTGCCACCCACCCCTACCAGCCCCGGTGCCGCGGCGCGTGGCAAAGAGCATCCGTGGTGAGCGCCGGCGCCTACCGAAGGAGGGCTCGTCCATGGAGAAGGCTTTGTTCTCCACGAACATGCTCTGCGACTTCTGCTCCTTGAGGATGGTCTCGTAGCCCACCCCGCGCGTGGGGTACCCCTCGTCCTCGAAGGGCTGCTCGGGGCCGCGCCGCGTGGCGTGCGTCACCTCGGGGATGATGTAGAGCAGGAGGAAGGCGCAGGCGTTGGCCACCAGCGCGATGGCCAGCGTGGGGTCATCCCAGCCGGGCTTCTCGCCCGCGCGCTGGTTCCCATAGAGGTACATCACGGTCCACGCCACCCAGATGGCCACCGAGAGGCCGGTGGTGGCCAGGATGAAGGCGCTGTGCTTGCGCCAGCGGCCGTAGCGGCCGCACAAAGCCGGCCATGCGGTGCCGAAGGCGGCCACCAGCAGGAACATGACGTAGATGAGAGCCATGACGAAGTCAGCGTCCGCCAGCCGGCAAGGGTCCGCGGCGCTGCCCTCCTGCCGCGCCACCGTGATGATGAGCCACTCGGCGTTGATGATGACCTCCACCAAGGCGAGGAGCAGGGCCACCGCCAGCGTCACCCAGCCCCGCGGGCCGCAGTTCCTCCGCACCAAGAAGTTGAGGGCCACGGCGTGCGCCAGCAGCGAGGAGAAGCAGATGGCGAAGAGGACCCCGAAGAGGAAGCGTCGGGAGGCGCAGGTGGAGAAATCCGGCCCCACGATGAAGTCAAACGTCAGGCAGAAGAGCCCGAAGGTGCCCAGGAGGAAGAAGACCTGCGTGGCCACCAGGCTCTTCTTCTGGTGGTCCTGCACGAAGGGCAGGCTGGCCACCAGGACGATGGTGAGCACGAAGCTGGTCACCACGCCAAGGCTGGCCACGGCCTCCAGCACGATGCCCCAGGCTGCCGAGAGGTCGCAGAGGTTGTAGTAGAGGGAGGAGAGGTCCTTGCTGCAGCCGGAGGGAGCGCTGGTCTGGCTGCTGGCTGTGGGGAGCAGGACCAGCAGCACACAGGCGGCCACCGGGGGCACCGCGGCAGCACCCATCCTGCACCGTGCTGCGGGCGCTGAGCGCGGCGTCCAGGGACCCTGCGAGACAAAGGGGGTGTCAGGACACGGGGATTGAGGATGTGGATCAGATCCTGGTGATGCCTGTGCCGGCCCAGGGTGCAGAGCATCCCTCCTGCCAGGCCATGGGGAGCACTCGGGTGCTGGGGAGCTGCATCCACGCTGGCACAGCCAAACCCACCCCAATGCTCCTTGTCCAGAGGCCTGAAGCCACCGGAGGGGCTCAGCCCCCTGCACCCCACACGCTCCCTCCTGGCACGGGGTTTCTCCAGTCATGCCCGGCACTTGGAGCCGCGCTGATCCCATCCTCCGGTGCCAGGAGCAGGCAGCACCGTGCCCGCTGGCTCTCCTTGGAGCACCAAACACGGACCTGGGCCAGCGGCACAGGTAACACCCGGGGATGGGGCTGTCCCCTTGGCTTGTCTCTGCGTGCCAGCCCGTTCCCCTTTCCACTTCTCCTGTGCTGCTTCCCTCTGGCTCCGGGCGCTGACCCAGCGCAAGTCCCGTGTCCACTGGCACGAAGGTGGCCACAGCCTGGCACGGCCATGGCACAACACGGGGGCCCCTGTACCCGCTCCTGCGACCCTGGGGAGCACGGGGTGGGCACGGGGAAGAGGCGGCAGCGAGGGAGCTGCAGCCCCAAAGCTGGGGAAGGGGGGGACACCTCCGGCAAGGTGACCCCGGGCCGGGAGCCGGGACCCCCCCACCCTGGGGCAGCCCCAGCGAGGCCGGGATGGGGACAGGGACCCCCCGGCACCGCGCTGGGACCGAGCCCCGCGCCCGCGGCTCCTACCGGCTGCACCGGCCCCGGCCCGCCCGGTCCCGTCCCCCCCCCGAATCGGTACCGGAGCCCAGACTTGCCCCAACTCGCCCCGGCTGCCGGCCCAGGCGAGCCCCGGCGGGGCGGACGGGTCCGAGTCCGAGTCCGAGTCCAGGTCCGGGTCTGGAGCCGGCTCCCGACCCCTTCCCGTTACGGTTCCCGGTGCCCCCCAGCCCCGCAGGGCTCCACTCCCCGGCCCCACTCACCGGCTCCAGCGCCCGGTGCGCGGCCGCTCCCCTCGCTCCTCCGCTCCGTGCAGCGCCGGGAGAGCCCCGGTCCCGCCGCACCGTCCGCGCCTGCCCGGCCCGGCCCGGCCCCTCCCCGAGGTGCGGCTCAGCCGGGGCCGGCAGGGACCTGCCCCATCCCGCACCGGGCGGAGGGAACCGGGGATCCCGCACCGGGAGGGGGAACCTGCCCCGGGGCACGGCGGGGGAGTGGGGCCAGAGCTTGGGATTGGGGGGGGGGGGCGTTGGACGGGGGGGAGGTGGGCTCAGGAGCCGTTAATGGAGTGAATCTGTGCGGGCTCAGCCCGCAGGAGCTGCGTCAGCCCAGCCCTGCCGAGCTCGGGCCAGTGAAAGACCCCCCCCAAGGGACAAGGGATGGAGCAGGGGGGGCTCTACTGGGGCAGCATCACCCACACGGGGCCTTGAACTGAGTCCTCTTGGTGCTGGGCCAGCAGCCCCCAGTTCGCGGGTGGGCTCCTGGGTGGGAGCCGGGAGCAGGGCTCCCCAGTGAGGATATACCGCGGTGTTCCCATCGGGAAACCCTGAGGCTCAGGCCCGGAGGGGCCTCCCGGAGGAATGTCAGCTGATGGATAAAGCCGGAGCCTTTGGCAGGGCAGCGGGGCCCCAGGAAAACCCTTCCTGCAATGGGCTAGGGTCCAGGGCAGCCCCGGTGGGGGGAGCCAATGGTGCCTGGTGGTCCCTGTACCAGTGTGGAGCACCACGGAGCCGGGCATGGGCATCCCGCAGCCACCCCATCCCTGGGGCTCAGGGGCAGGGAAAGCCCCGGGAGACGCGGGGCGCCCTGGGGGAGGTTTCCAGGAGGCAGGCGCTGCTGTTCTGGGAGGGTGAAGGATGCAGAGGAAAGTTCAACGAGCCTCGGGCGGGTCCTCCCCCGGCCCGGGCCGAAAACAACCCCAGGAGAACGGGAGGCAGGGCCCGAGCTGGCAGCACCCACGGCACGAGGGCTGGAGCGTGTCTGGGCTGGGTGCTGCAGCCAGCACCGCCATCCCTTGGGTGCTGCAGCCAGCGCCTCCATCCCTTGGGTGCTGCAGCCAGCACCGCCATCCCTTGGGTGCTGCAGCCACCACCATCCCTTGGGTGCTGCAGCCAGCACCTCCATCCCTTGGGTGCTGCAGCCACCGCCTCCATCCCTTGGGTGCTGCAGCCAGCACTGCCATCCCTTGGGTGCTGCAGGCACCACCTCCATCCCTTGGATGTTGCAGCCACTGCCTCCATCCCTTGGGTGCTGCAGTCACCGCCACCATCCCCTGGGTGCTGCAGCCGCCACCACCATCCCTTGGGTGCTGCAGGCACCACCTCCATCCCTTGGTTGCTGCAGCCAGCACTGCCACTGTCCCCTGGGTGCTGCAGCCGCCGCCTCCATCCCTTGGGTGCTGCAGCCACCGCCTCCATCCCTTGGGTGCTGCAGCCACTGCCACCATCCCTTGGGTGCTGCAGCCAGCACCTCCATCCCTTGGGTGCTGCAGGCACCACCTCCATCCCTTGGGTGCTGCAGCCACTGCCACCATCCCTTGGGTGCTGCAGCCACCGCCATCCCCTGGGTGCTGCAGCCGCTGCCACCATCCCCTGGGTGCTGCAGCCAGCACCATCCCTTGGGTGCTGCAGCCACCGCCATCCCTTGGGTGCTGCAGCTGCTGCCACCATCCCTTGGGTGCTGCAGCCACCGCCATCCCTTGGGTGCTGCAGCCGCCGCCTCCATCCTTTGGGTGCAGCAGCCGCATGCTCTTCATCTTCCCAAGGAGCTTCCGGACGGTGTTTGGGGCAGGCTCATCCCTCCGTGCCAGGACACGTGCCCATGTGTGCGCTCTCACACGGGTGCGGATGCAGGAGCTCTGCGGGGGCCTCTCTCCTGCCTCAGTTTCCCCACGGGACCGGTTCAGCCCCGCAGGGCCCTGCCCCGGGGCTGCGGAGGCCGCGGTGCATGCGGCTTCCTCCTCCGCTTCCTGCCACCGCGCGGGTTTCCCGGCTGCTGACTCAGCACGAACCCCCCTTCCCCTCGACCCCCAGCACCGGCCATGGAGGCACTGGCAGCGTCCATCCCAGCGAGGCTGCCCTATGGGCACCTCCACCTCTGTCCCCCTTCCCATGGGGGCCCTCCCGGCTGCACCCCTTGGGGTCTGTGTAGGTCCTGCAGAAACACCCCATCAGCGCCTGCCTGCTTGGGCGCGATGCCCCCAGGCGCTGGCTGCCTTGCAGGGCCCAACCATGCGCAGCGAGGGACCGGCTGCCCTCGGTCCCCTCCTCCGGCCACGTGCCGGGGCGGCTGGTGCCTGGCACTGCCCTTTGGGCGAGGGCAGAGCCCGGTCCCGGTTCCCCAGTGCCCAGGCTGGGCTGTGGAGCTTGATGCCCATGATGGGATGGAGCAGAGCGGGTCCCTTGGCGCAGCAGCCGCACTGAGGTGCCGGGATGCGGCTCGCACAGCCCCGGGACCGGGGCCAGGCTCTTTCCTCGCTGCCTCGCTCCACAAACCCCGCTCGCCGGCAGCAGTTTTTCCAGGCTTACCTTTCCTCTGGAGCTGCAGGGCTGGGTGCCCGCTGTGCCTGCTGCAGCGGCTCTGTGGCACGGCCAACCGAGCCCCGGCCCCTCTGGGGCTGCTCCGGTCCCCCCCGTGCCGCTCCCAGCAAGGCTGAGGCGCTGGTTTCCAGCCGAGCCGGTTGCGTCCAGCCCGGAGCCCCTCGGCGGACGCGGTCAGCACATTTCCACCTCCTTCTCCGAGTAAATAAGCACCGGTTGGAGAGGGGGGGCCGGCGGCGGCTGAGAGCGGGGCTGGGGCTCCTGCCAAGCGCTGCCTTCACCGGCCGAGGTGGCCCCTCCAGCCCCGGGGAAGGGCTCCAAGGGGGGGATCCAGGCCTGGAAGCCCCCGCAAGGGGAGTCCGCGGGGTGGGAGGCGCTGGCCCGGTTAATAACTAACCCCTTCCCGATCCTGCTCTCCTCAAGAGCCAGAATTAATGGAGCGAGCACCTCCCAGGTACCACCCGCGCCGCCAGGTCTGGCTTTAACCCTGTCCCCGGGAGCACGCATCCTGACCAGGACAAAGCAGCATCACCCCATCAGGTGGGCTCTGCCCCTGCTGCGGGGCTCTGCTGGGTGCTGCTGTGGGTCAGCCCCATAGTGAAGCTTGTGGCTCATCCCACATGCACACTGGGGGCAAACGCTGCACCCCATCCCACCCCAATGCCAGGCACAGCCAGGGCTCAGTGGTGAGAGCAGCAGGGGCTTCATGTGGCTCATCCCACATGCACACTGGGGGCAAATGCTGCACCCCATCCCACCCCAATGCCAGGCACAGCCAGGGCTCAGTGGCGAGAGCAGCAGGGGCTTCATGTGGCTCATCCCACATGCACACTAGGGGCAAATGCTGCACCCCATCCCACCCCAGTGCCAGGCACAACCAGGGCTCAGTGGTGAGAGCAGCAGGGGATTCATGTGGCTCATCCCACATGCACACTGGGGGCAAATGCTGCACCCCATCCCACCCCAATGCCAGGCACAGCCAGGGCTCAGTGGTGAGAGCAGCAGGGGCTTCATGTGGCTCACCCCACATGCACACTGGGGGCAAACGCTGCACCCCATCCCACCCCAATGCCAGGCACAACCAGGGCTCAGTGGCGAGAGCAGCAGGGGCTTCATGTGGCTCACCCCACATGCACACTGGGGGCAAACGCTGCACCCCATCCCACCCCAATGCCAGGCACAACCAGGGCTCAGTGGCGAGAGCAGCAGGGGCTTCATGTGGCTCACCCCACATGCACACTGCGGGCAAATGCTGCACCCCATCCCACCCCAGTGCCAGGCACAGCCAGGGCTCAGTGGTGAGAGCAGCAGGGGCTTCATGTGGCTCATCCCACATGCACACTGGGGGCAAACGCTGCACCCCATCCCACCCCAATGCCAGGCACAGCCAGGGCTCAGTGGTGAGAGCAGCACGGGCTTCATGCCCTGCTTGGGCCCCTGTCCTCCGGAGCAGCCCCCCTGGATGCTGTCCTGCCCCGTCTCTTGGGAGTTCGACCGGAAAGGCTCGAATGGGGCTCGAAAGGGGGGGATTATGCTGAGGGCTGGGGTCTGAGGGGTGCCAGCTTCGCAGGGCGACCCATCCCTGCCCTCTGGTGGCAGCTGGGGACGGGCTGGCGCAGCCGCTCGCACAGCACCACGGCCAGCTTGGCACTGGGGTAAGTGGGAGGGCAGCATTGGTGCTGGGTGCGCTGGGTGCAGGGCAGCACCCTGAGCCGCCTCGGTGGGAGATGCTGCACCCCTGTGCTGGGTGCACCCGGGGGCTTCAGCCTTGCAGCCCCTGGAGCTGGGGTCTCACTGTGTGCCAGGTCCTGCAGCTGGGGATGCTGCAGTCAGCACCCTATGGATGCTCCGGAGCAATGGGGTGGGCTGGGAACCTGTGCGTGTGGGTGCTGATGCAGGGGGACCCCATCGGGCTGCTCACAGGGAGCCAGACCTAGGCAGCGCTTTGGTCTCAGCACAGCAGTTTATGGAGGAAGGACCATGGCACCAGCACCGCATCCTCACCAGGGCTGGAGCAGCTCCTCTGCACCCATCACCCCCTGGGATGGGGGGCAAGGGGCAGCATCCCTGGGGCAGGGTCTCAGCAGGTCCTGGGCTGATGCACGGCTCAGAGGGCAGTGCCAGCCCCCGGCTGCAGCGCTTTCAGTGCTGGCTGCGGGAAGCGGGCGCTGCGGTGCCGGGGACCGTGCCGGAGGTGGGCCCGGAGCACCGCGGCCACCGTGCGGCGGAAGGTCCGGCTCACGAAGGAGTAGAGGAAGAAGTTGAGGGCGGTGTTGAGCATGGCTACCATGTTGGCGATGTCCAAGGCCAAGTGCACGCGCCAGTCCCGCTTGACCGAGGCCACGTAGAGGTGGCAGATCATGACGACGGTGCGGGGAGCCCAGAGCACGGTGAACACGGTGGTTTCGGCCAGGAGGAGGGCTGTGGTCTTGCTCTTGTAGGGCCGGCCGCCCCCCGAGCGCCTCCGCTGCTTCAGCTTGCAGATGATGATGGGGTTGGTGGCCAGGAAGATGCTAGAGGGCAAGAAGTAGACGGTGATGCAGTGCACCCACTTGAGCGCCATGTCCAGGGCGGTGGGGGGGTCAGCATCACGCCACATGTCCAACCACCAGTAGAAGGGGATGCCCGTGGCCAGGGATGCGGTGAACACGGCTGCGATGATCTTGCGGGCGCGCTGCGGGTAGGAGATGGTGCGGTACCGCAGCGGGTGGCAGAGGGCCACGTAGCGGTCCACGGACAGCAGGACCGTGATCCACGTGGAAGCGTGGTTGGCCGTGAACTCCAGGACATTGATGGTGTGGATGAAGGCGCTGGGCACAGCCCGCGCCAGGATGGCTGTCTGCAGGATGAAGCCCATAAAGATAATGAAGACCTGGGTGAGGATGTCGGAGGTGGTCAGGGCCAGCAGGTACCAGTACGATGACTTCTTGGTCCTTGTGGCCAGGCGGAACATGGCCACGGCAGTCAGGATGTTCACTGGAGGGAGGGGAGCGATGCGTGGTGGTGAGAAAGGGGTGAGGAAGGGAGCAATGGGTGGTAAGCCTATAGGAGACCTGGAGAGGGGCTTGGGACAAGGGATGTAGGGACAGGCCAAGGGGAATGGCTCCCGAGGGGAGACTGAGCTGAGCTCTTAGGCAGAAGCTCTTCCCTGTGAGGGTGCTGAGGCGCTGGCACAGGGTGCCCAGAGAAGCTGTGGCTGCCCCATCCCTGGCAGTGCTCAAGGCCAGGTTGGACACAGGGGCTTGGAGCAAGCTGCTCCAGTGGAAGGGGTCCCTGCCCGTGGCAGGGGTTGGAGCTGGAGGAGCTTTAAGGTCCCTTCCAACCCAAATCAGGCTGGGGTTCTATGAGACTTGGGGGCTCACAGGCCCCTGCAGCACCCAGGGGTGCCCGGGCTCTCCCAGGGCTGCAGGGTGAGCGGCTGCAGGCCCCAGCTGGGTGTGGAGCTATAAATATCACGCTGCATTGGGGATTTACTGAGCTGATTAATCCCATCCATGTGGCAGCCCAAGCAGCACAAATCCCATCTGTCCCTGCTGCTGCTGCTGCCGCTCCTGCCCCAGGGGCCGGCCTTTAGAGCTGAGCTCCACAGCTGGGGTTGGACCCTTGGGGACTCTTCCTCCCCATCCCCAAAACCCCAGGGCTGGGATGGGGGCCAAGGGCATGGCCTGGGTTGAGGATGCGTGGCTCAGCCCCCCCTTGCAGAGGCTCAGCCCCTCACCTGGCAGCCCCAGCCCCAGCAGGACGCTGTAATACACGATGGGGATGATGCCGACCATGCAGGGTGATCGCTCCAGCTCCAGCCATGCTGCCTCCGCTGTGCTGTTGGGCACTGAGAACATCGCCTTCCACCATGGACCGGCTGCAGGGGGAGACAGGGAACATCAGGGGGCTGGGGGCTCCCATGGGTGCAGTTGCCCCAGGCATCCCTCCATGTCTGCCTGTGATAGAGCATCCATGGGTGCCGCAGGACAAGGGAGCTGGGATCCAGCCTTCACGGCTCCACCATGGTGACAGTCCCCATCCCCAGAGGGTGGCCCCTACAACTGCAGATGCTCCTTGGTTATGGCCTCGAAGAAAACCAGATTAAAGCACCAGGTTCTTTGATGGATACCTGGGGGAGGACGCAGGGTTGCCAGAGGGGGGTCCCGGGGTACCAAGGGTATTGGCTTTTAGCTAAGTCCTTTGCCAGCTCCCCAGGCCGCCCTGCATGGAGCAGAGACCCTGCCTGTACCCTCGTACCCCCGCCCGGACCCCACACCCCAATGGGTCCCATTCTGCCCCCCACCATTCATAAACCCAGGCGTCCCGAACTCCACGCTCCTATTGGTTAGAGGGGCACAGGCTTTACCCAATCAGAGAGGCGTCTTCCATGAATGGCGAAACCAAATCTGAGCGCTGCGTTCTGATTGGTCAGAATCCCGCATCCAAAAGAATCAGCATCTCCCATGGGCTACGGCGACCCCAGGCCCTAGAACTGGGGCGTAGGGGGGAGTCCTGAGCCCGGTGTGGGGGTACTGGGCACAGCTTCGGTCCCAGCGCGCCCCTGGCCCCACAAGGACCCCAAACTGCTCCATGTCCACTCACCGCAGTCCCCCGACGGCTCCACGGCGGGGGGGGGGGCACGTTTCCGACACCCTGTTCTCCCTTTCCGCCCCCCCCCCAGCCATAGATGTGTCCCTGCAGCAGTGCCCTCGGGGGGGCTTTGGCCTCTGCTCCCGGCTGGGATGGAGCCAGAGCTGAGCCCAGGCTGGGTGGGATTGGGAGGGGTGAGAGGGTGCGCAGGGGGCTGCCAATGAACCGCAAATGAGGTCTGGCTCAGCAGCAGCACCGCGTCCAGCCCCTCACATCCCCCAGGGAACTGGGGCATCGATCGGCTGCAGCTGAGGCGGGAGCGCGTTAACCCTCTCCCAGCCCCGCTCCCGTCTGCTCTGCTGGGGGATATGAGCCCGGTCTGGTCCCCTTTTGTCCCTCCACTGACCGGGTCCCGCACCCCAAGCCCCGCAGGAGGTGGGGTCTCACCTTGGTGGCCCCTGTGCCACCGTCCCGGTGTGCGATGGCACCGGTGCCCCTGCGCTGCCGGTGTCCCCGTTGGTGTCCGCGTCCCCTCCAGCCCCGTGGGCGCACGGCACAGCCTCCCGGGGCTCAAGGGACGCGGGGCGGAGGGAGAGCAGCGTGGGCAGAGCCACGGGCTGGGCTGGCAGAGCACGGGTGACGTCCCCGAGCCTCGCTGCTCCCATGGGAGCCAGGGATGGGTCACCTGGGGAGGGTACCCCAGTCCTGAGTGATGGTGACAGAGCTCGTCCCCGCACCCAGGGCAGTGGGGATGGTGGTGCAGGTGCCTGGGGATACCTTGTGCCCCCCACAAAGGCCTGTGTCCCACAAGGGGTCTGTGGCACTCAGAGGAGCGTGCGTGCACATGTGAATGTCCTCATGTGTGCTTCGTGTGTCCCTGCCAGGCTTTGCTCTGACTGTGCCTGGGTGCCCACCGCTGGCCCAGAGTGGAGGGGAAGCCTGCCCGTGCCTCAGTTTCCCCAGCAGCACAGGGAGGGATGGATGCTCTGTCCCCTGGTGACCACCAACACCAGCCCCACATCCCCTATGTCCCCCCCCCACCATGCCCTGTGGCCAGCCATGGGGCACACGAGGGTCCTTGGGCTGTGTGGGGCAGGCTGTGCTGGCACCGTGCCGCGGCTCACCGGGCACAAGCTGTTGTTTAGCAGGCGGGTGGTTAAATGAGGCGTCGGTGGATGTGGTGAGCCATTAACCGGCTGTGCTGCAGCCGGGGCCCCTCGTCCCCCTGCGCTTCACCGCGAGGCAGGAATGCTGCCCTGGGATGCAGGCTCTGCCTGCACCGCGCTCCTGGGGCTCCTGTGCCCCAATGGACCACAGCATGGGGGTGGCTCATCCCCAGCCCCTCCATCCATGGATCAGGGCCAGATGTGTGATCCCCCCCCCCATGGGAGCTGCATCAACATCTGCCTGAGCTCAACATCTGGAGACCCCAGCTAAGCCCCAGCCCCTCGCTCATCCCCCTGGCCCACGGCTGTGCTCGGGGATGAGGCTCCTCAGCCCTGTCCCTGCTCCTGCATGAGCCCAAACGTGTCCTCAGAAGCCCTCGCTGGCACTGAAGCAGCCCTGGCCACGGCGGTGGCACCGGGGGCACGGGGCCAGGGCCAGGCAAGCTGACGCAAAGGGGCAGATGGGCTGAGCACCCCCTGCTCTGCTGGAGCCCATCCTACCCCACTGCATGCACCAGTGACCACCTTCACCCCACGGAGCACTCAGTGCCCATCCCCGTGGCCTCAGGGTGCTGGTGCTGGCAGCGGTGGCTGTGACCATGGGTGCTGAGGAGGGAGCGTGGTGTGAACCGGACCCCAGGCACACGGTGCCGTCACCTCGCTTGGCAGCTGAGCACGGAGCTGCAGCACCGCAGGCACTGGTGCTAACCCCATCAGCCTGGACAGATACTCGATACCCGGCACCGCTGAGCATCCTCCTGGGGGGCTCCCTCCGGCGCTGCCATGAAGGTCACAGCATCTCCCCGCCGGTGTCGCCAGGAGGGGTCCTGCTGCACCCCAAAGTGACCTTGTGCAGTGATGCCACTGCTCCTGCCTGGGGAGCACCGAGCTGTGGGGCTCCTGCCGGCCTGCCAGCCCCCCAGGACCTTCATGGGGGGCTCCAGCGGTGGGTGAGGAGCTGCTGTGTCCCTGAAAGCCTCCATCTGTGGGGTCCGTCCCCCATCTCCATCCCATCTGGGGTCCTGGCTCCCTCCCATTGTTGCCATTGGAACCAAAGGCAAAAGTGGGGTGCAGAGACTCTGTGCTCCCACCCCAAAGCCCCACAAGAGGTGTTGGGGCAGGCAGGGAGCCAGCGGAGGCCGGGACTGGGCACTCGCAGGGTGCAGGCAGCCTCTTGGCTGCAAAGGCTGGGAAAAGGGCAGGCAGTTCCTGCCGGCAGCCCGGATGCCATGGTGATGGGCTGCTGCCGGCATGAATACCCATGAGCTGGGGGGGAGCGGGGAGGCCACAAAGAGCTGTGCCCTGAATGCAAAGACCCCACTGATGTGTCCCAGCCTCACAAAGGGCTGCATCCATGCGTGGGGCTCCGGCACGGCACAGGGCTGTGGTGAATGGATTTGCCCCCATGGTGTGCCGGGGCTCCCCATCACAGCACCCCGGGGTGCGGGGCTGGGGTCCGGGCTCAGGGTGGGATGGATGGGGGCCGGATGCGGTTCCCTTGGCAACGGCCGGTCCCAGTTTCCACCAATCGATGTGGCGGGCTCGTGGCCTACATAAGAGCCCGGCGTGTGCCGGTGCCGCGGCGAGCCCCGGCAGATGCGCTTGCGAAGCCATGGCCAGGGTGATGGGCACCCGGCCCGGGCGCCGCTGGGGCTGCGCCGCTGCCTTCCTCCTCCTCCTCCTCACCGTGCAAGCGGGTAAGGGCGGCCGTGCCGGGGGGAGGCGTGGAGGGACCACGGTGGGGCTGGGCTGAATGTGGGTGCCCGGTGGTGCCCATGGGAAGCTGAGCACAGCTCCCCAGCAGCCACTGTGGTGAACTGGGAGGGATGGATGCGGCTCACGGATGTGCTGAGCCCCACGGTGCCAGGGAGGTGCCGGCGGTTAGGGTTGTGCCCATGGAAAAAGCGGTGCTGCGGGCAGCAATGTCCAGCACCATGGGGCAGAGAGCTCCTCATCTTCATTGTCATCCTCATCCTCATCCCCATCTCCATCCCTGCTCAGCTGGGTGTAAAGGGTGATCGGACGGCTCACTGGGAGCAAGATGGGATTTGCAAGAGATGGAGCCAAATTCACCCTAAAGAAGGATGCTCCGGGGAGCGGGTGGGAGTTATGGCAGGAATAAGGGGGAGCACGGAGTCCTCTGTTTCACATTCCCGCATCCCTCTCTGGTCTCTGCTGGGAGCCCAGCACTGGAGGGACATGGACATGGGGGGACGGTCACCCCTGATGCATGCCTGAATTGGGCCCAGGAGGACGGGAGTGAAATTTAGCTGGGAAGGAGATGCTGGTTCACAGCATCAGTGAGGAGACAGGGATGGCACCGGGCACAGATCTGCAGTGACACCAGGACAGCCGCGGTACCCAGGCAGCTTGGACCATGGGGACCCATCCCTGGGTGCCCCACGGGTCAGTGCGGGATGCAGGGTATGGGGATGATGCCCAGGGCTCGCTCTGCTGCAGCAGGGCTGGGATCAGGGCTGCGGACCGGGCTGGGAGCCAGCGCTGCCCGGCACAGGGCCATTTCCCAGCACGTCCCAGCTTGGGCCATGGTGGTCTCACCCCTTTTGCTGCAGAAAAGCAGGGTTTTGGCTCCTCAGGACACAAATGTCCCCATGTGCCCTTTGTCCTCCCCACACCCCCTTGGCACCAGCCAGCTCTTTGGCACTGGGGTGGGAGGGGGCAGGATGTGCACAGATCCAGGCTCCCCATTACCCACCCAACCCCACAACCGGACCCCGCTCTGCTGTCCCTGGCTCTTGGGGTGCAGCTCTGGGATGATCCCATCTCCCCCCAGCCCAAAAAGCCGACCTGAGCGGCGAGGCCACGGCTGCCACCATCAACCACTCGCTGACGCTGCTGCAGCGGCTGCAGGAGCTGCTGCACAACAGCAACAGCAGCGACTCGGTGCTGCGGGTGCGCACGGCGGCCTCCGACGAGGCCAAGGTCTTCCACACGCACCAGCTCCTGCTCAGCCTCCAGAGCGAGGTCTTCGAGAGCCTCCTGCGCAACCAGAGCGTCCTCACCCTGCACGAGCCCCCCGAGACCGCCGCGCTCTTTGAGAAGTTCATCAGGTACCTGCGGACCCCTGGGGATGGGGACAGAGGCAGGGATGCGGCTCCCTATGGGGACAGTGGGAACCCCATGGGATGGGGA